TACATTTAGATATCCCCTCCAGAAGAAAATTCTAAAGTAATATGCAAGCCAGAGACTAACTTCTAAAACTAGCTCTTTCTTACTTAATATTTATGGAAGGCAAGTGAATCATCTTATCATCGTACCTGATTACCATAGGAATTATGATTAAAAACTTTAATTCTTTAGCAAGAAAGGATGTTTTAGATTGAAATGCAATATTTAAAGGTGATTTCAAGGTTCCTGGGGAGCACAGTGTCTACATAAATGGTGAGAATTACTTCTGAGAACTTCAGATTATCAGGAGAATCTCAATGGGGCTGGGAGCTCAGCAGTGACTTCTCTTGCATTCCATTACTGAGGGCTCAGTGGTAGGACGCCTGCCTAGTGAGCATAAGGACACAGAGGGGTTAAGCCCCAGCCCCACAGGAGGGGGAGAAGCAGCTCAGTGTTATGTAGTTCACTGAGTACAAAGCTCTTAATTCTGATTTATAGTTTTATCCTTCTCATTATGCTGATCATGAGTAATCATTTTTAGATAAATTTTTATTATGATATATTCATTATACAGGGAGGTATTCAAAGTCACAATTCCAATTAGACATATATTGTACATTATTTACCTCACCCCCATCGTCTCTCCCCTTCAACTTCCTCCCCACCCCACTTAAAGCAATTGCCAGAGATTTCTTTATTCTGTTTCATGTAAATATGTGAAGTTCACCTACCATATATTGTCACCTTAATCTCCTTCCTTCACCCCACCGCCTTCAACTACTACCTCCCCCCACCACATTGTACTTATTTTACAGTCCTGGTTTTCATTATTAATATTTAAGTTGATGTTCAAAGGGGTGTCTCACTGTATGCCCACTGTGGGTGTGCTTTACTTTGGTCCGTTCAACCCCTTCCATTACTCTCTCTTACTGCTTTACCACTCACTAATTGTGAATAGTCTTAATGTCTTTTGTAGTATGTTCTTTGTCCTTCAAACTTTTTATTAAAATAATTCCTCTACTTATTTCCTACTTTATTTCAGCTTTTACTACAAATTTTGGGCTTACAAAGCCCAAAAGCAATTGAGACAAGTTTCAAAGATACTTTCATTTCAATAGGATTGAAAATAAAGTATGAAAAAAAAATCAAGAAAATAAAAAATAGGACAAAAACCCTACTGAAATCACACTTGAATACAAGTATGCATAATATTTAGTCCTTCATAGTTGGACTGAACTGAGTTTTCTAGAGTCAACAAAAGGATGAAAACATGATTTCTTACAACATGAAACTATTTTAACAAAAGGACCATATAGAAAAGCTGCTTCTGGAATGCTAAGATCCAAGAGAGAACTCCCCCATACATTAAAATAACAATATGATGAGCTGTGTTCTCAGTGGTATCCTTTTGTATATGTTCTTTTTATCTATCTATCTATCTATCTATCTATGTATTTATCTATCATCTATCTATCTATTGATCTATCTATCTAGCTATCATCTATCCATCTATCTATCATCTATTATCATCTTTTTTCTAGAGGAATGGTATTAAGGTTTGAACTCAGGGCATCATGTTTGCTAGGCAGGCACTCTACCACTTGAACCACGCCCAACAGCCCTTTTTGCTTTAGTTATTTTTTGGACAGGGTCTGTATTATGCATGGGTCTTGGCCCAGACCTCGATCCTCCTATCTACACCTACTGTGTAGCTAGGATTACAGAACCACATCACCATCCCCAGTTTGTTGAGACAGGACCTCATAATATTTTGCTTGTGCTGACCTTGAACAGTGATCCTCCCAGTCTCTGCCTCCCGAGTACTGGGATTACATGCATGTGCCACCTTACCCAGCACTTGTTTTTTAATATTTCATGATTACAATGCTAAAGTTAAAGATGCTAGGAATTTACAGTATTCATATATTTTTCCAAGGCCTGGCTGGAACCATGAATATAGTTTAGAAAAGCTAGATTTGTGTTTTACAAAGTGTACTGAATGCATACTCATATAATAGGATAATCATAGATATCATATAAGCAGTGTTCCATAATCATTGGAAAATGTAGGATAAAACAATTAAACAGAACTTTTCATAGGAGTATTTTTTAGCATGCATCACTGTTGTAGTGTTCATCACTGTTAAGATTCAAGAGAGAGTTTTTATGTTGCATATCCAAACATTTTTTTATCCACCAAACTATTTTGAGTAGATCATACAGCCAGAGTAATATTTTGAGGTGCATTGTTTAAAAAAGTCTCCCAGAAGAGCAAAGTAAATTTACAGCCATCAGCTAGTCTACCATGAATGTAAAGAAGTTTCTTAATGCACTGCATAGCAGAGGGTAACACTGTGTTCCTGTGGAGAGAGGTGTACTCTTGCTGATCAAGGGCATATCCAGAAGCTTTGTCTCATTCTCTGATAGAAACCAGAACAATTCACAAAATGTACTGAATCAGAAAAAAATGGTTCAAATTTTTCTTTGAAGTGGGTCAAGTTAGTACCTTCAAGCAAGGTGAGATTTTTAAAACTTGACCAGAAGGAAATATGGGTTGGTGCCATAGCAAAGAGAAACAGTAGTTTTAATGTAAACACACTCAAAGTAAGCATTAGTGTTAGTCATTGTCTATTATGTATGTATATATGTATTCCAGTAGGATACTATTAAATTACTGATTTTAGGCAGTTTGGCTCTTTTTGGGTATTGAACTCAGGGTCTTGCACTTGCTAAGCAAGCACATTAAACAATGTGTCTTTTTTAGGATCCTTCTAAGATCAGTTAAAAGATATATCTTGGAGACACTATGTCTGTCTGTTAAATAGAATATGTTAGAAGTAGATAAAATGCTGGAAGAATTCTACTAAAAATGACTAGGTTTTATAGAAGTCACTTTTAATCCTTTTGACAGAAATAAGATTTTTTTTCCCTATTGGAACTACAAGGTTTGGCAATAAAATTATTTAGAGTATAGACAGTAGCATATCACAACTTCTTTTCAAAAGCACAGGTATCTTCATTCATTTGAATAGATTAAGACAAAATCATTTCTAATAACAGAATATCTTTCTGCTCTTAGTTTGTTGCTTTTAAGGAAGTATTTGGAGATTACAACAAAATCACATGTGTCAGGCTGCTGGCTGTATAATTTACTAGTTTCATAGTAAAGTTTCAGCTGTTTGTCAGTTATAATTGAATTCACCATGCTTAACCTGCATAAAAACGAATGCTATAAAGTGACAGTGTTGAGCTAATTTACCTCTTTTGACTGGTTACATAAAGTTCTAAAATTCCTATGCCAAAGTATTAGCCTTCAGAGTTACACATATAAAACCCTTGGTTCAAGCGTTTTATAATTGCTCCCATAAGCCATTTTACTTCCTTTATGAAAAACTGAAATTTCTTATTTATAAATAACATCTGAAATGACATTACAAGTTCAGCAAATCTTGTAACTTTTTTATGGAAACATAACAGAGCACTTTAATATTTTGGTTCTGTTTTTCTACTTAGTGTTCTATTCCAGTGTCTCTAGGAACCCATGTACATCTCTGTTTAGCACATTAATTCTATTTGTTTACTGATAAGAGTAACTTGGAAATCAGCTTATTACACAGTCTAAATAATAAGTTTTTCTGTTGCTTGAAAAACAACATGGCCTTGGTTTGACATTCTTAGATGCTGAAAAATAATCATTTTGAAAAGAGAGTGAATATTCATGAATAAAAATGAAAAAAAAGTTCAGGAAACCCAAATTTGTTTGTTCTGTGCTTATATCTAAATCATGAAAGAAAACATAGGAAGAAAAATGCATCTATCAGATATTTCCAAAAAAAATTGTATTTTATTGGGTGGAAAACATTTAAGTGTGCATAAATTTTTGAAACCTCACTATACCTAAAATTTCAGTCTTCAGAAAAGAAAAATTGGTGACCTAGAATCTTAAACAAAAATTAATTTTGACATAGGAAAAGTTATTCTGATGATAAAACTACTAAAATAGTTATAGAAATTCCCTTTAGGATTATAAAGTAAATATCCCTTTTACAAGAAAAATAAACAAAATGCAAGATTGGAAATCCACTTTTTTGTTTTGAGGGGGTGTTAGGGATCAAATACAGGACCTTGTGTAAGCTGAGCATGTATTCTACCACTGAACCAGCACCCCCAGTCCTAAGCCCTGCCTTTTTTTCTGGTACTGGAGATTGAACCTAGATCCTGGTGCTTGCTAGGCAAGTGCTCTACCACTTGAGCCACACCTCTAACCCAGAAAGTCATTTTATAAATATATTCTATGCTATAAAGATTTAATTTAAATTTATATTGCACATCCTTTCAAAGACTGTAACCTACAATCTGTAAACCACTTTAAGTATTTGAATAACATCTGTAAACCACTTTAAGCATTTGAATAACATTCCTATGAAGAAGGTAGCACATTTCTATTACCTACATTTACATAGAAGAGAGTTTAAAGGGGACATTGTTCCATAGGAGTGGACTGTTTTTGTTACATCATATAAGCAATGTAGGAATAAGAAGCACTTTCCTGATTTTAGTTCTGCTAATATCTCATTTGTTTAGTTTATATACTTTGTGGTTTCTCATACAAGTAGAATAAGTAGTTGTTCTGAATCTAAATATTCAAGTATTTAAAAGGCTGGTTCTCAAGACTTAAAGCAAAGAAATTTTGAAGGTAAATGAAATACCCTGGAAGTGAACTAAAAATACAAAGGAAAGAGATGAGTGTAAATATAGCATTACACTCCATTTTTGTTGTAAAGCAAATTTTAATTGCGTCAGAACCTTAGAAAAGTCATGGGAACTGTTTCAGAGGAGGATCCCAAACTGTATTTTAAGGGGAAGAGATAAGTATTGGAGGGAAAAATTCATGTAATCATGAGAAGGTGATTGATTGCTTCTACTGGGATCCCAGGCCACATTTAAACTAAAGAAACATTTTATCAGATTGGATAGTTTTCAGTTGTTTTTCTTTTCAATCCCTTTCTTTCTTTATTTTACAGTGGATGGAACTGAGGTTCAACACTCTGGCAAAATGCCCACACTGCAAAAAAATGTAAGTTGTTTACCAATAAGATTGAAAAGTAATGGAGAAAAATTTAAAAAGAGTTTAGAATTCTTGCTTCAGTAAATTTTTATTTTAAGACATACTATGGAATGAATGCATGCTTCATATGTTTATTCTTTTCAAGACTAAAAATAGACATCTTTGAACTAATTAATGTATTTTATTTTGGAATTCAGTTGATTGGGCTTGATTATCATTCTCTAAAGGGAGATTAATTTCTAAGAAACTAAAATTGATAAAACTGTCAGTTATCTGGTGAGGATTTTTAAATATCCTCAGGGTTAAAATCTATTTCAAATAATTTAAAATTTATATTTGTAAAATGGACTATAATCCAGGATAAAATGCAGATTGTTTTAGAGTTCATAGTTAGGCAATTGCTTTTTTCATCCTCTGCCTGATAAGATTGTTACTGTGGCAGAGTTTATGTAATGGTTAAGTTTGTCCAACTTAACCATTCAGTTAAGTTATCTCTATTTCTAAAGTGGTTCACCTAAGGAAAATAACTAAAGGCAATATAAAAGTGGAAATAACAAGATATTCAGATTAAAGACATTTTCTGGCATCATATTGGGGGCCCTCAAGACCATACCAATCTTTTCTTAGGAGGACTCATAGGAATCAGTATAAGGTTGTTCTCACAAATAAAATTTATTACAGCGAAAGAATGCAAAGCAAACTCAGTGAAGGGAAAAGGCAAATGGGGCAAAACCTGAAGGACACCAGGTATGAGCTTCCAAGGATCCTTTCCCAATGGAGTTCTCCAGCAATGGATTGTTACAACACACCGAAAGTCTTGCTTCCTGGGGAAGCTTGCTGGAGACTTGGTGCCCAAGCTTCCCATTGGAGCTGCTCACCTATTGCCAAGCACAAACCAAATTCCAAGCACCCAGAAGGGAAGCAGGTGCTCAGCACAAGCCATTATCCTTTGTTGTGTGGAAAACATTTGGATATGTCTAAATTATTGACAGCTGCCTGTACCTAGATTTTTATTCTTCTGAAAAGAAAAATTGGTGAACTAAAATCCTAAACCCAAATTAATTTTGATGAAAGTAATTTTGATGAAAAACTGCCAAAGTCCTTAAAAGAATTTCCCCTAAAACTACAAAGGAAATATACCTTTCACTTTACCTCTTCAGAAAGGTAAAAAGAAAAACAAACAAGATGGAAGATCAGAAAGCCAGTTTTGCGGGGAGTGCTAGGTATGGAATCCAGGACCTCGTGGATGCTAAGCATAGCACTTACACAAAGTAAGCTACCCTTATCAGTTAGGGAGTGGTGGGAACTTCCCCAAAGCCTAAGTTTCCATATGGCAGCTAAGGGCCAGCCTTGAAAGCAGGGCTTTCTAAGGATAGCAGACTCAGACCTGCTAAGATAACTTTCTTGAATAGCATGTATTTTGATAATGAATTTTTAATTAAAAATTAGTCCTCTCTTATATGTGTAAATTGTAACTTCAGTAAAGTCAATTATAATGAAATATTTTGACAATTCAATTTTTAAAATTGAAAATATAGGATATTTTAATCTGTGTGGCCTTTAGTATGTAATACAATTTATCTATTTTAAGAGTAGAAAAATTCCAAGAATGGTTGCTAGGAGAAAATAATATAAAAGTGTCAGAAATGTAGAGAATATATAATAAAATGTCTCCATTTATCCCTGCTAGATCTAATTCCAACTAAATATAGCACTGTGAGAATAACTTTTTTATAGCATATTTGTAGCTTCAAAAAAATAGATCTTTCCTTCTTTAATTTGTGAAATTAATCATCCAATTTCTTAACCTTATTGGATCCAGTAGAAGTCTGTACATGGAGAATAAAAGTGGGTGACCCCAAATAAGGACACAAAAATAATATATATTTGAATAATACATATTTCTGGGTATTATCTATATTTTCAGAAAATGAACAAAATTAAATTGCAAATATCTCCACCTAGGACATTATTGGGTTAAAAATTATAGAAAATATAAAGCTTCTTGTGAAAGCAAAGACTTCTTGTAATTAGCAGACTGTGTGCTAAGCATAGAGATAATTGTTTTTTGAGCATAAACTTTGCAGCAATCCTGGGATGCGGGGATTATTATCTCATTTCACAGAGGAAGAATTGTTAAGAGGTTAAGGATTTTGCTCAAGGAACTTGTTAATTACTTTAGGACAACACCAATACTTTTGTTGATAATAAAGAAGTATTGAATGTCTAGATCTCTCCTATCACAAGACAGTGTGTTAATAAAGAAGAATCTGTATCAATAACATAGGGAACAACTTGCATAGAAGTTCACATGGAATAAATCAGCTTGAACATCATTCTAAGAGGAAGGTTTGTGGAATTGGAGTCACATGCTAGCCATGGGAGGCCTTGAGACATTCATTACTTATTTGAGGGCAGATAACTGTTATCACATGAACACTCATAACTATCCAGAATTCTTTTCTTTTTAATTGTTTTTCTTTATATAAAAATGGTGGGTCTTGGAATAATATTCTGAGACAGTATTTGATTTCTTTAAATATAAATATCCTAGAATTACTTTTGAGTTACAGGAGTTGCTAAATCATTACTATGAAACTTTTTTTTTCTTTTATTATTCATATGTGTATACAAGGCTTGGGCATTTACTATGAAACTTGAGTATCACATGTTTATCTCACAAACATGCGGTGAATGATTCCTCCCAGAGCTTCAGAGGCAAAGAGGCATTTTCTCACATCATTGTTTCTTACTCATGCAGTAAGTGGAACTATTGCAGCTGGCGGTGGTGTGTTTCTTTACTTCAGCAGCTGAACCTAAGACTAATAGCGACATTGGTTTCACTCATCATAGTTGCCATTGAATACCATTTCTTCTACATCAATCGTGTACTCCTTTATGAATCATCTCATACAATTTTAAACACCAGCAGACTCTTATTTTCAGATGTAATCCTTTTACTTTGTCAGTTAATGTTATAATCATTCATCAATTCAATGAAAAGTCCTGTGTTAGGTATTCAGAACTTGCAACAAAAGACAAAAATCTTGCCATCAAGGAACTTAGTTTTATAGGCAAAGTGGATAGACTAGACAATTCTAAGAACCTTCTAACTGCTTTCTAGAGGTATGGCCAGTGTGCTGTGCTCTGGAGATTGGCAGGAAAGGGATCATGAGGGAAATCTTGCAGGAGTAAATGATGTAAGAACTAAGTCATGAAAGACCAGGTGGAATTATGTGAAAAGGAAGGCAGGGTGGGTCACTGTAGAAGGAGCTACTTGTGCAAAGGTACAGAAGAGTTGGAGTGTAGGTGTGCTGTTAAAGAAATAGAATAACTAGGATTGAAAATGAAGGAATACGGGAGAGGGATTGGGGTCAAGGAAAACCTTGTTTCTGAGAATCTGCGGAGCCATTTACTAAGATAAGGAATGCAGAATCTAGAAGAGATGTGTCTGGCAGAGAATGATAAATCCAGTTTGAACATAGTTGATATAAACAGACTCCTAAATTTGCTAGATTAGCTAAGCTTTCAACCCATCAATCTTCTTTTCAAATCACCAACTTTGGATCAATGTGGCCCTGTCTTCTCCCTTTCTTTATCAGGACAACTGAGCTGAAAATCTTCGTATTATCTACAAGTGTACAGCTTTACACTTTAAAGCCTTGGTCTGTATTCCTTTTTAAACTGTTCTTGCTTAACTCCTTCCACCATTCCCCAAGTCAAGTTGTCTCTAGGTATTTACTGTTTTCCTTAAACTCTCTCCCCACCATCCCCCAAGTCTCCAAATCTCTGCAGATGAGTTGCCTCTGACTCCTCCAAAACTGCGACTGTCTTTGTGCTCCCTCCACTTCACACTCACTACAAATAAACCTGCCTCTGTCTGTGTACACTTCATTTCCTCTTCTGAAGGGAGGCAGGTCTCTTTTTTCCAAGTTTTGTGCCCTCATTTTATCCTGACATTTTAATCCTTCTGGAATATATATAGTGCATGCTGGGCAAGCACTCTATCATTTGAGACATGCCCCCAACCCTGTCATACAGTTTTGCTAGTTTTATAAATTTGGTATTCATTAAAGTTAAAGATATGCCTATGGTACACCACAGCAATTCTATTTTTAGGCATATGTTTGAGAAATTCCTGCATATATACATGAGGAAACATAAGCGTATTCAAAGCAGAATTTTTATAATAGCCAAATATTAACAAATATCTGAATGTCCATCAACAGGGAAAATGAATAAGTTAAGTTATTTCAAGTAATGAAAGATAATTATGAAAATGAATGAGCTAAATATACATACAAATATATACTTGTATGTATATTTTCACATACAAATGTGCAAATATAACAATGTAGAAATCTGATGTAGAATATTGAGCACATAAAAGGGCATAGAAACATGAAGTTCAACACACACACCCATAAAGTTTGTTTTCTCTTTTACAAGAATATATTAGTTGTACAAAGGGTTACACTGTGATGTTTTCATACATGCATGTAATTGTACTTTGATTACCTCTATTAGTCTTCTTATCCACAACTATAAAGTTTTAATATATGCAAAAATATCCTGTATATTGCATTCAGCATCACATATGTATTAAATGTGCAAGAAATTTTGTTATTCACGCAATAGCCTCTTGTTGGTCTTTGCCTCTTCCTGGTGATGAGATTGCACTTGGGTTTTGGAGTAGCAGTAGATTCTTTCTTTTCTGGGAAGACTTCAACTTCTCAGAAGTAGTAACTGTTTGTGTAATGAAAGAGGGGTGGGTTTTCTAAACAGAATTCACACACCAAGATTAATGCACTCAAGTTATTCTCTTGGCTCAAAGAGAATATTCATTTAGAACCTTTGACTTCTTAATACGTAATTCTAATAAACTTGTTGTTTTCTAATGAGTGCTAAATTAGAGACTACCATTGGCAGATACGCAGATAGCAATGAGAAAAACAACCAGCTGTGAGGTATAAAGCAAGAAAAACCACTAAATGGATGCATAGGAATTAAAACCAGAAGTAGCCTCAGGCTAAATATAGCATAAAGGCAATGAATTATGCATCTCTAACAACTCCAGATAGCAATCTGTGAAATACAGTGATTAATGACCACCCCTAAGTCTAGGTGTTTATGTTTGGGTTCACGTATTCAGGAAAATTCATGACGTGTTTGTAGCAGATTTCACCAATTTTTAAAAAGATTTGGGCATTAAGGGCAACATTCATATGCAAAATTAACCTCTTTGGTGTGATATGCTTGTAAATCATGTCTAGTAAGTGATCCAGTTTTGTATTTCACTTATTCAACAAACATTCATTGACAGATTACAATGTGTTGACATTGGCTATTCAAAGTTGATATTTCATTATGTCATTCACTAACAGTGCCTGGCATATGTATGTGTTAATAAATATATGTGTATTTAGGCAGAGCAAAAAGTGCTAATTTGGCTATTTGATCTCTGCTATACTTGTGTCATCTTGAAAATTACCAAAATTAGGAGAGAGATTTGGAATTTCAATTGAGAAATACGGTAGCAGTATATCCTTTTATGAATTTCCTTGAGGTTTTCTGGCAATAGGTATTAAAAGATTTTTTTAAAAAAGCTTAACCCCTTTAACTTTGTAATCCTAATTCTTCAAAAAAAGTTAAGAAAATGTTGAAAAATGAATACAATGCTTTTAAATAATGCCTAGCTGGCATTATTTATAATAATGAAAACACTTTAAGTGTGCAATACTAAAGAATTGGTTAATTATGCTCTAATCATCCATCAGAATTCCAATTTGACAATACTTAATTACATAGGAATATGCTTATGCTATGTATTGGCAAATAAAAAAATGGCAGGAGGAACACCTGTCAGAATGTTGAGTGACTATTTTGTGATGATAGGATTAAAGGCAGTTCTTTTCCTTTTTATTCAAGATTCTGTTTTCCAAATTTTTCTACATTAAACTTAAACTATTATAACTGTAAAATAAACCAAGTGTTACTTGTAAAACTAGCACTGATTTTCTATTCCAGAATAGACTTTTTGGGAATAGACAGTTGGCTTGGAAGTTCATCAGGGACCACAGTGTTTTTTATTCATTTGTTTCTGTGGATATTGGCAATGAACTTTGTTTAAAGTAACAAATTCACCACTCTGAATGTGTTTTTATGCACAGTATGTTATTAAGTTTAAGCATGTAAAATAGAATAGAAAGCACATAAAGTAGAGTTACTAAAGTCATAGGTAAAAACTTGCAAAGATGAAGAATGGAGAATCTTTATGTAAACACTTTGACTGTCATCAATTTGCAGCTCTTCCGTGGGTAGTGCACTTCCACGAAGACGCTGCTGTGCTTATATTACCATTGGAATGATATGTGTTTTCATTGGAGTTGGATTAACTGTGAGTACTACTTTACTCTTAGAATTCTTTCCTCTCAACCTTATCAACTGTAGTCAGTGGCAAGGCCTGAGACAACCATCAGAAGAAGGCTATCTCCCGGGCATGCAGGCCCACGAAGGGCAACTAGAAACCCTATCCATGGACCTGTGTTTTCCCTTAATTCTAAACAATTTTTATGAACATATATACATTGTATACAGCAATGAGTTTGTGTTGGACCTGTTTTTAATGGAGTTTGCCCAGGCAGCTAAAAGGGTGACCCTTCTGAAAGTCCTTAACACTGGGAAATTTACCATTTCCTTAACAACAGCCCATTTGTTTTTATTTAGTGGGACAGAACCAACTTTGCATGACCATGGAATATCTTACATTCAAAACAACATTCATTCAGCAATAGAGGTCTGAAAAATCATTCTTCTCTTTATCTATGTCAGAGAATTATTAACCATATAAAGATGGCTTATTTTTAGAGGAGACTCAACTAGATGGTTGGCATGGGGAGTAAGCCAGAAGAGCAAGGCATTGATCTGCCTTGTTGCCCCTTGCTTCTCACTTTCTGTGTTCCTTAGTTGCTATACCTGATCCCAAATTATTAGCTTATTAGCAATGCCCTCCTGGGACAGAAGAGTAACAAGTTACATAGATTAAGTACCTTTCAGAGGTAGCTTATTTTAGTGCTTTGTTTTTGTCCTTGAGACAGGGCTGGTGTATCAAGGCTGGCCTGGAACTCACTATCCTTCTGCCTCAGCCAGGGATTGTAGGCATGTACCACTGCACCTGGCAGCGTGTTTTTTGGCTTTTGTTTATTTTTTTTACTTCATAAACTTTAAAGTTAATATGAGTAGATGTATTTTCTGTCAGTTATAGTCAACAGATCCATCTACTCATTTTATGGGGACTTTGTGGCTTCAGTTTAGGGATATATTTCATACAAATCATATAAATGTAAACCAAAACAAGTTCTCTAAATAGATATTTTCTTAAACTTTCTAATCTTTTTTTATATTGCTTTTTGTTTTAGGTTGGCACCCAAGATTTTTCAAGGCGATTTCATGCAACCTATGTTTCTTGGGCAATTGCTTACCTCTTGGGTTTGATCTGCCTTATTCGAGCTTGTTACTGGGGAGCCATAAGAGTTAGTTATCCAGAACAAAGTTTTGCATAAGCTTGTTTATGATTCAGTGATGCAGGTGAGAGTGTCTAGCAGTTCTTGAAAAGCTATTCTGGACATAGTTAAATCATCCCAAATGGATTCCATTCTGGTTTATGTATAATAGTTTCAAGGCTTTGGGAGTCTTTCTGAACAAATGCTCATTGTAGTACATTATATGCAAATTGTTTTGCTGCTAGGTTTTCAAACTCAGAATATCAAAACTATGTTTTTATTTTATTTCATTTTCATTGATTAAAGATATTTTTGGATTTGTCACCAAGCATTGCATATAATCTTTTCATTATGTTGAAGTCAGTTATTCATTACTTGATCTGCAACTACTCCCAAGAAGTGTTTATGTTTCTACAATAGCTTCACATTTATACTTATGTTTTAATTAAACAACATCAAAATTGCTTGCTTTAAAAACTAAGCAATATACATTTTGCTTGAACTGCTTACAGTAATTTTAACCTAAGATTATAGAGACCTTATTCAGGAAAAAATATTTGAGTGTACTTTCAAAACTTGACATTCTTGTCAGAGAAACATTTCTAGATATTGTATGCTTGTTTTTTGTTGTTTCTAGAAAGATAAAATATTTTGGTAGTAATTTAAAATACGAGAATGAAAATATTTATTTGTCCACAGTTGGAAATGTTGGGTAAATGTCTTTTCTCAAAGATCACAGGACTTTTTGCCTTTCATTTTTGTCTTTTTATTTCTGGATTCATGGAATTTAATGTTAATCAGTTGTATGTATCCCTTTACAGAGACTAGAGGAAATATTTCACATAAAATGTTTTATAACACTTAACCATTTAATCAAAGATATATTTACTTTGCATTGTTCTTTTTACTAGGTGTGGCACATTTTTCTTAATGGGATAATTTGCACCACTTATGTGAAGGGAGCCTATGACATTTTGCACTAGCTAAAATTTAAAATTAGAGTTACTCTTACCATTCTTCTCAAATATGACTGGTCAGCTAATTACTCAATTTGTTCAAGAAAATGGATCAGAAATGAGCAGCATAGTTTTCTAAGAATTCATTAAGATTTACGGAATCAGCTCTTGCACTGCCCATTTTTTTGAGTTTTGAAAAAAGTAATTGAGAAGTTAAGTTCTAAAGTCTTTCATGTAGTAGAATTAGATAATGAGATTATCTGAGTAAATTAATTGGTGATTTCAGAGATAAGACTAATATTTTAAATTATTTATGTTCCTGATTAATATGAAAATGTACTCACTGGAGAGTTTGGAGTAAAATACATGTAGACTTCATAGAATAAATGATAAATGTATAAATGCAGTAGCTCAGGATTCTATGTACCTTGGAAAGTACACTAATAAAGATTATTGTTCAAAAATTTCTCTCTTCTATTCCATTTTAAAACATTTAAAAACATTTCCCGAATTGCCTTGAGCTCTTGCTCTAAAGTTTCCATGTTTAAGAAAGCATATAATTCTTACATAAGATTTACTTGTTTTTCTGCTATTTTCATGGAAATTCAGATTTTGAATTCATTTCTAATGCACTTTATGTCCAGGAAGAGAAGAATCCAATGTTTTCTTTCCTTGCTGACTTGCTAGTTGCAACAGCAGTGTATATTGAGTTATTAATCTATTTATTTCCCCCTTTGATTTGAAATCCCACATTTAGCTATATGTTACATGATCATATTTCTTGTGGAATATAACTCATGAGAGCAAGAACTTTGGCATCTTGTTGACTGCTTTAATCCCCACTTAGAGCACTTCCTGGTGTGTGTGTTTATTATGCATGAAATGCTGACTATGCACGAATGAATAAATGACGGAGCGCTTAAGTGCTTATACAATTTGGCCCTGTACTTTATATTTAATGGCAAAACATGTAAATATTATAATCTTAGGTTGAGGGAACATTCCAAGTAGACCCTAAAAGCAAAGAACATATAGGAAAGCATTGATATAGTGGGTGGTTAAAACCAAAACAAACATCTCAGAAGCTACTCTATGAAACAAAATCATAAGCAAAGCCAAATGACCAACTGATCAAGATATATTCAAAATAATAGATCAAATCTATATAGTATGAGAAGGGAAGAAAGCATGAAAAAGCATTCTCAAAAGAAGAAATGTAATTGAACATAAACTTTTTTTCCCAGTTTACTAACAAAGACTGTAAGTTAAAACAGAGTATTTTTCAACCACCATATTAACAAAGAATGAAAAAGAGCAACAATATTGCTGTCATTTCAAGGATATGAGAACCCGTCCCCTATACCCTTTCCACATTCTTCAGTCTAATAATTCTAGATAAAAGAATTTATACTAATGGCATTATGAATATGAGAGCAGATTATGTATCTTTAATGTTTATCACAATTCTACTTATAGAAAAGATTAAAATAGGAAACAGTTAAAAAAAACAATAGTATGGGATGGTGAAATAAATTATGGCACATTTATGCTATGAAATAAGCAGTCACCAAAAATATGATGAAGTTTATCACCTATTTAATTGGAGGGAGTTCACAAAATATCATGTGGCAAAATCAAATTAAAAATAAGTATTTATGGTATGACCAATTTTGGGTAAAATATTTTATGAGTATATATTTAAAAGATGAGGAAAATGAAACAAAATGTTAACAGCAGTTATCTCTGGGTAATCAGAGATAAATGGCTTTCTTAAAAATTTTTGAACTAGATTAATAATTTGAAAGTTTTGCTCTTGATAAATAGGTTAGAATAGTCACATCAATATTTGTTATACATTGAGATTTCTGATATTTTAAAATATGTTAAAGTTCAAACAAATGCGGATGATGAAACACTTAAGTCTTAAAGCTAATAAATATATATTTAAGCTTTGTCCTATGAGAATTATCGTACATTTTTAATTATAAAATCCAAATTTATGAGGCTTTATACTCAGGGTTTTTTTTTTTTTTTCTTTTTTCTTATTTTAGTAGAGTATCTCTCAGTGCCCAGTGAACATAGAAAGTGGTAAGGAAAGTGTTATTTGAGAGACTACACCATAGCCCCTAATCAGGAAAGGAGTAATTTGGCCCCTGTGGTGCAGTGGCTCACATCTATAATCCTAGCTACTCAGGAGGCAGAGATCAGGTTCATAGCCAGTCTAGCAAATAGTTTTTGTGAGACCCTATCTAGAAAAAAATGCATCACAAAAAAGGGCTGGTGGAGTGGCTCGAGGTGTAGGACCTGAGTTCAAGCTCCGGTACCGGAAAAAAAATAAACAGTGGTGAAGATTGTTTTAATTCTTTGAAGAGAAAAATAGCCCCATAATCAGGTACTCTTAACAAGTCATTTGTGAATATAAACATGTCATTTTAGAAGAAAATAAAGGACCATAATAATGACATGGGCCATGTATGCTAGCTTCACAAAATGTGCTTTTTAGATACTCATAGGAACCAAGGTAGCGCTCTCTTTCTTTCTCTCAGTACTGGAGACTGAACCCAGAGCCTCGTGCATGCTAGATAAACTCTCTACTTCCCCAACCCTAGGAAGCATGTATTCCCAGAGGACATGGAAGTGCATCTCCCATATTTCTGAAAAGATAGATTCTAAGTAGGATGGGAATCTGCATTTCAAAACAATCACTCCCAGATGATTCTGATATTGCTTCCTGCATCTTACTGTGAAAAACACTATTACACCATGTGGAAAATAAACACACACACACACACACACACACACTCTCTTTCTCTCTCTTTCTGGCATTCATATTTTTGGATAACGAAAAATCTGCAGTTGTATTTGCCATTTCTTCTGTTTAGCTTGTTTAGATATTGTTATACATGTGCTCAGATGCTATCATAAACTCCCACAGCCATTTTCATGCTCATGAGCTGCATAAATTGCTATAAAGTAAGTTTTCATTTACTCAGTGTATATTTCTGGTGTGCAAACACACATCTATGTAGCAAGTAATAGCAAGTAATGAAGGGAAAAGCTCTAGTGTTTATTGAGCTCCATTCATATTTTATTTTTAATATCCACCACAGGATTCTAAGGAGATTAAGTCATTAGGTAAAGGCCACTCAGACTGTGACAGAGCCAGCTGGAATTAAGCAGTTTGTCTACTTCCAAAATTTCTCTCTTTTTCCACTACATGAGACTTTCTTGTGCTGCTTTTTGTAAGGAATAACTTTTGGGTTTTGTGCCCCCTGCTGTTCATTGTCTGTAACTGACCTGTTGAAGGAAAGCTAATAGAAATGTTCAAAGTATTCATTTAAAAATAATATTCTCATTTAAAAATCATTTTATGAATTTGATGTTATATCTAACTACATTAATTTTACTGCATTTTAATTTATGTAACAAAATGTTACTGTATTTGTTTTCTTTTTAGGAATTAATAAAATCATAGGATTGAGTAGGAATATTATCTATTAAATATGAGGGAATTGACATGGAATAAACTTTAAGATAACTTCATTTTATTTTTCTTGTAATGCTGATATTTGTTAAAATCACTGTAAAATAGCACAAAATGCTAACAGAAAGATTTGTAAAGACTTAATTTTTTAATTTATCTTCCATGGTCACTTATAAACTTAAATAAATGTATGTGCTTTATAATATTGCAAAATGTGCATGTGTTTGACTTGTGGAGGGATACTACATAAAAATCAGAAAAATAAAGAGCCTGATTTTGCGTGTGTAGGGGGGTACTTTCTCACAGAGTGAAGTATTACATATGGCTAAAAAAAATCTAAGAATGGGGTATAGTTTTTTATCTACCAGGTGATTACACATTCTTTTAGTTTTGTAATAGTCATTCAAGACACCTTACTAACCAGGAAGTGATCACATACATTGCTGTGATGGAATTTTCTGAATATCTCGATGTTCTGTTCATATTTATAAGTACTAATGATTGAGTATAGAACTATGAGAAGTTCCCAGTGTTTCAATAAATTTTTTTGGAAAAACCTTCCGTGTTTGATACTTCCACATCAGATATATCTTTGGCTTAAGATATTTAACATTTATGTCATCTCAGAGAAAATTCATTAAATTTTTATTAATTATCAAGCTCTTGGCAAGAGTTTAGTAAATGTGTGAATTCCTTAGCTTATTTAATGATATGTTTTCACTGGTCTCTTCTCTCACACCTGCCTTACTCCTTCCTTCATAGCTACCTCTGTGCCTGCCCCCTACTCTCAGATCAATAGTATCCCGTTCATTCTCATGTCACTGATTTAAATGGCAGTGTGAATGGGCTCTGTAATACTGTGGCCTATCTCAGAGTTCTTTGGTTTTGCTAAAACTTCAAAGTCTACTGCCTTCCACAGCAGACCCCTTCCCCCTATACCATTCCCTTGTGCCTCCTCAGAGAAACCACAATATTTTTTGATCCCTATATATGAATGCCCAATCAATAGGTGTCATTACCATTTTCATTTCTCATTCTCACACCCTATACACTATCAGTTCTCCTTATTCTAAGTTATGTTCAGTTTTCTTTCTTCATGGACACTACCTACCTTATTATGGCTCTCATACATACTTCCTGAATTACTGTTAAGAAAAACCTCTACCCCTCTTCTTGTCTTGGTTGCTTACTACCCTCTTCCAAATCTATTTGCTACACTGTCACATAAATAATTCCTTTACAAATGGACATATATAATCACACCCAACCTAAAATTCTTTAATGTCTGTCCATACCTTTATAAAGAAGATAAAAGACCCCGCATTGTTTCTTAGCTTCTTGCTGAGCTACATCCAAGAAGTCTCTTGTATTTTGTGTTTCTGCAGGATTAAATTACTGGTGTTATTTGTATTGACTGTTGTTTTATTCTTGTATGCTTTGGGGCTTGTTCTTCCACCTACAATGAACACCCTTTTTTAGGTGGGTAAACATTTTATCCTTGAAAATTCTGCACAGCCATTACCTGCCATATGAACCTTTCAATGATCCTTCTATTCCTCTGACCCTTCAACAAAATTGTGTCTTTGATTATAATATTTTGACTCCATGTAAACACTTTCATGACTTGTATTACCTTCTATTTTACTTGTTAATTTATAGTCACTGTTATTAGGATTAGGCTATTACTCTCTCCTTGCAAATTTTGAAACATCCAAAATAGTCTTATTTCAGTTTGTATCCTGAAACACATAAGCATAGACCTTCAAAAAAGTTTTGCTGAGCTGAATGCAACTTAAATTTTTTTTTTTTTTTGGGCAGTACTGGGGTTTGAACTCAGGGTCTTATGCTTGCTAAGCAGGCACTCTTTAACACTTGAGCCACACCTCCATTCCATTTTGCTCTATTTTGGAGATGGGGTCTTAGGAACTATTTGCCTAGGCTAGCTGTGAACCCCGATCTTCCTGATTTCAGTTTCCCAAGTAGCTAGAATTACAGGCATGAGCCACTAGCGCCTGGCTGTTATTATAGCTTTTAACACATTGCTAACCTGTTCGTAACTACTAACATGGATATAATTTCACAGAATATTTGGGTGACAGTGTGCTCAGCACCTTCACACAAATAATACGTTGCTATACATAGCACCTCCTTATCCTTGGGGTAAACATTCCCATGCCTCCAGTGGATGCCTGAAACTGCAGGTAGCATTAACTCCTACGCACGCTTTGTTTTTTCCTATACGCACATACATATGATAAAGTTTAATTTGTGAATCAGGCACAGTAAGAGGTTACCAAAGACAATGAAATAGAACAATTCTAAGAATATACCTTAATAAAATTGCCAGAGTCATTACTCTTGTGTTTGCTGTATCTTTCATTCCCTCAAACATCTACATACATGTGTAGCATATATTTTGTGTGTGTGCTTTTAAAATAGCTTTTTGGGTATCCCAACTTAAACATCCCATTATAATCTCCTATGTGGAAATCCCAATTTGAACTCTCCACTTCCTTTCCCTAACCTGTTCTGCCACGTGCATTTCCTATTTTTTGTCATCACTGTCACTAATTTCTCTGTTTGCTCAAATCAGAAACCCAAGAATTGCTTGTATTCTCTTCTCATTTGCCCCTCCTATGCAGGCTGCCACTAAACTCCACTGATTTCCCCTCATCCACATCTTCCCTACTTAGACATCTTATTTCCTTCTGGAGTGATTATATAAAGGCCTCCACGGAAGCCTCCAAGTGGCCTGTTTAATTTTGCTGTATCTTCCTCTCCCTCAAACATCTACTCTCTACAATTCTGTCAGAATGATCTTTCCAGTGTTTACTTTTGATCCTGTCAAAACTTGTAAGACAAAACCATAAATCAGGGCTCAAAGTGTATTCAGGTTCACCTCTCCTGTTTCATTTTCCTCACTACTGTTTCCCCAACTCCATTACTCCTCCTTGGGTATGTTTTCATTTCTCTTTGTACTTCCTCCTCGCCTTTCCTTTTCTCATAGCTAAATGCAAAAGAAAGCACCACCACCTGCCAGGAAAACTCTCACCCAGGCATAGGGTCAGCTGAGGCCATCCCTCTACTGTGCTCCCAACCTAAATGTTCCTCCATCCAGACCCAGGGGCCAGGTGCATTGTACGCCCCACCACAGCAGGAAGCGTCCTTGTCACCCACACGCTGTCCCCAGGTCCCCAGCACAGGCAGACTGGCGTCCTCAGAGGGGACCTTAAAAAATAGTGACCCAGGGAAGGAAGATGGAAGAATAAAAGGATTTGGATTGGGATGGAGTCGCTTCAACTCCTTTTGGTCTCCCAGGGCCGCAATCGGGATGTAAACCACGTCTCCCCGCACCCTCGCCGCCAGCTGGAATGCTGGCGCCCGCTAAGCTCACAAGGGGACGGCGGGGCCCGCGGCCCCTCTGACGGGATGGCCTCCGTCGTCAGCGCGCGGCGGCCTGGCTCACAGACGCTGCCCGGCGCCCGCCGCGGTCTGGGGTCCCCGCAGGCTGTGGATGTGGCCGCGCCCCGTCCAGGGCGAGCCGGTCAGCACCCCGAGAGGCCGCGCGCGGCTTCCGCCCCGCTTCCCCCCGCAGCCCCAGCGCGCGCCGCCGGTTTAACGGTTCTGGCCCCACGGGGCCGCGCCCGCCCTCAAGGCCCGGCGCCCGCGCCCCGCGCCCCTCGCAGCCGCCGCCCGCCCGCTCCGCCCGCCCCCGCCGCCGCGGCCACCCGGGACCGCGAGCCGACGCGCGGCCGGAGCCGTTCCCCGACGGGCAGCGGGGCGCTGGGCCGCCGCGTCTGCGCTGAGCGCCGCGACGCTGCCCGAACCCCTCCTGGATCTTGAGGCGGTAGGTGGGGCAGGAGGGCGGGCGGCGGGGGACCGAGCGGCTCCCCGCGGGTGTGGGGAGCCACCGGGACCGGGAACGTCGGGGTGACGGAGGAGGGTGGGGAGGGTGGACAAACCCCCGAGGCCCAGGCGCTGCGGAGTTGGACCGCGGGAGGGACGGGGCCGGCCCGCAGCGCCCTTGGTCCCGGCCCGGGTCCCCGCCGCCGATGCCAGGCGGGGGTCTGGGCTCAAGACTGTGTGTGTCCCCCTCCCCCAGCATCCCGAGGCAAAAACTGCGGAAAAGGACGGTGATGGGCGGGTAGCCACAAACACCCACCTGTTGCCTCCTGGACGGTTTTATCCCCAGCTCAACGTTATAATGTGCTCGCATTGAAAGATGCTTCCCAGAAAGCTTTTAAAAAGTTATTTATTTAGGTTATAAAGACAAGGTGTGAAAAATAAGATGGAAGGTGTACCTTTTTGATAATTTTTTGTTTTAATTTGTCCCAAATAGTGCAACCAGATTTGTGGAATGTGAAATGACTTATCTCTTGTTCTATATTATCATTTGTCACTTTTTATCTGTCATTTGATCATTTTCGCCTATCATTTGGATTGAAGGGATACTAACTTTGTAAAAGTTATGTTTTGAAGTTGGAAACTGAGATTAAATCTCCTCCAGTTATAGCAGTGTGATAATTTAAAGAACCATCAGTACTTTTCAAAGCGGTCTAGAATTTATCTAATTATATTTATTTTTTGGAGTGCTGAGGATGGAACCCAGGATCTGGTACATACTAAGGAAGTGCTCTATCACTGAACTACATCCCTCACCCTAAGAAATCTAGAATTCAATTGCAGATTTTAAGTATAGAAGTCAGCCTCCCATAAACAGTTCATATTCTTATTTCTTATGATTACCATAGTGGTACACCATGTCTTTAGAGTGAAGAAGAAATAATAATGCCACAACTTATTTAATATTCTAAGAAAATTATAAATTGTAGAAATGGAAAGTATCTGCCTATTAAAAACTTATTCAGCAGGACTTTTATACATAAATAAATAGTATAAATAAATAGTTTAATTTTTAAACCTACACATAAAATGCTTGCATGGGGTAGTGGATAGTCAGATGTCTTACCAAACAGGCAATTTTAGAGACAGGGCATGAACTTTGTAGTCAAATCCTTCTAGGCACTTATTAGCTGTGTGGATTTGGGTATGTCCCTTGTTTTTAACCTCATGTTTCTCATCTGTGAAGTGGACTAATAATAATTTTCTTTAACGATTAATGTATGGCTCAGAGTTAAATGAGGTAATATATGTAAGTATTTAGCATTCAGTTGGATCTAAAAATGGTGTTTTAATTAACAATATATGCTGAGTAATAAAATCGCATCTAAATTGGTCAGTATATGTGCTTGTTGTTCCATTGCACTACATTTTAGAAAATTCTGGGTTAATTTGTAATTTGAGAACTGATAGGACCAATTTTTTAAAACAGAGAAGGAACATACTATGTAGCTGGTATTGCTGGGTTATAAAATAGCAATTTACAACTTAAACGCCTTGAGTAAGTTCCTGACCAATATTGTGTTCATAAGTAACTTGGCCTTTTAAGATGGTTTGTTATGTATGTGTGAACTTGAAAAAAAAATTTTTATCCAGCAACCATTTCTCAGAATAAGTATTTTTGAAACGATGGATGAAAATGTCCTTGAAGACACATTTATGCTGCAAAATTATATATTTACATTTTAGAAGTCAACTTTATGATAGAGCAATTATCTACTCAAGTGTTACAGGTGGGATTCTGTTTTGCAACTATTGTCGTTTGTAACAGATGATGATATAAATGCCTACTCTAGGTATACCACTGGCACCATAGGAAATTTTTTGGGATCTGTAGATGCAGCTGGCATTACAGACTGAAGTTATTTTATTCACTGACTTTGTAGTTTGATTGTTTATTATTTTTAATTAAACTGAAAATTGGGAGTTTGCAGAGTCTTGTTTCATAGATCAGTTTTATAATAAAAATATGCCCTGTAAATATTTAACCTTTACAAAATGACCACAGTCTGCAAAGTAGAACAGAGTAGTGTATGCACCATGTTTTCTGATTTTTTTGACTAATGTGGATTTATATGTGGGGAGTCTTGCTTGTTTTTTTCTACTACCAACTGAAAGGTAGGTGGCACTAAAAGAGCTTTAAATTTTTGTTTACTTGTTTTGCAAATTCATATAATAGAGTTCTGTAACTCCCCAGCTCTTGAAAATCCCTAGTTTGAATACCATGGATTTACCTTGCTCAGCAGCTAGAAAAAAACTCTACAACCTGCAACTCAATTTCAGCTGAGCAATGAAAAACAAGGAACTGTGTGCCAAAGTCTTCCATTCTTTTGTATTCTGATTCACTAGTTTCATATGAGAAGCAGGGTGGAAAGTTACAGCATACTAGTGTCAGGGTCCTCATTAGAATGCTTAAAATAAACATAAAATGAAGTAGCATACATTATTAGAGTTCATTTGTTATTAGTATTAGAGTGCTTGTTTGGTCTTTATTTTAAATATTTCCTTACATTAGAAAGTATTCCATATTTTAGAAGTTTTTTTCTTTTTTTCTATTTAGGCTTATAGCATTTTTCTTTATTGTTGTATCAAAGAAGTTGTATTGCCAGCAAGTACAGACAGACAACATTGGTTTGTTTAGAAGGTTGTTAATAACTATGTTATAATACTGCTAGTTAACACAGAGACAAAGTAGATGGGTACTAATCTGGAATGCTGACTGGCTTTTCCCCAGTTCAGGAAAAAAATAACTATTTGTGCTTAATTATTATTGATAACTTTGAGGGATTGTATATAAATTCATGATTTTGACATTTGAATTATATATATACATATATATGCTTATATGTACACGAAGGCATTTTTAGGATAAAACATTTCTTGGAACAAAAAGGTAGTTACTAACCCTTATTCTTGAAGAAACAGTAAGTTGGGTTTATGATTTGCTTTAGATCATATGTTTACATTATTTTTGGATGAACAAGTATAAAGCCAAGTGGGTTTACTTTTGATTTCCTTGGTAGATATCAGAATTTAGAAGTTTGTTTCCCATGAAGATCAGAAAACTTTGTTACAATAGAGAGATACTTAAATTTATATAGTTTATTAAAAACAATTATATTATGAGTACTAGTATACAAAAATAAATAAGGTATAGTTTTTGTGGCCTCAGCTAATTCATAGTCTATTCAAATTGGCACTAATATATTTACCATTACATATTTTAGAAAAATCAATAGACAAAAATATAGGGGGGGCATTGGAGGAAGAAAGTAAGGAAAGAGGAATTATTTTACTATTGACTAGTTATAGGGAATTAGAGAACCTTATATGAACGATTTTATTTTAATGTTACCTGTTGAGACTTGAAAATATTTTCTAAGGAAATAGCAAGAGCTTTAATTCAGAAGAAGAATAGGAAGGGCGAGGGAACTCTAGATAGCACCAGAATGTCCAGATACGTGGTGAAGCAAAATAGCATTAATTCAGTAATTTATTGGACAGTTAGTTAGTGTGTACTAGATACTGCTACATACTAGAGACATACTTGAATGGTAGAGCCATAATGGCTGTTTAATAGGTAGTAGATAATTACATTTATGGTGGAAGAGGTACAATGTTGTTTCATGAGTATATGAAAAGGTTACTTAACCAGAACTTGGGAGGTTTGGCCTGAGTGGAGAATGAAAGAGAGGTTGTAGAGTGTGTGTCCACCAGCATGAGTGTAAGCATATCTCTCACTTCCTAGACTCTTGCCTTTGGGTAAACCCTATCTATAAAATGAGAATAATATTATTAACATTTACTGAACTCTTATTATGTACAAGGCGTTGTGCTAAGTACTTTATGTAGATTATACTAGTTAGTCTTCACATCAAGCCTAGGTGGTAGAGACTCTTGTTTTTCACAGTTACATAACTAGGTGGAGGTCCTATGATAAAAAACCCAGGCAGGCTGACATGAAATTTATTATTTTTTGAGACAGGATTTCACGATTCTCTTGCCTCAGTGTCCCCAAGTGCTGAGATTACAGATGTATGCCACCATACCTGCCTTACTGGCATGAAATGAGCTTTAATTAATAGTGTCATATTTACAGAGTTGTTCTGAATAACATATGTAAGTAGGTAACTATGCATGCTAATATATGGATATTAATAATCCAGGAGATATTGGGAAGCTGGTATTTTTAAAGCAGAAATAATGTGTAAAGGAGCCAGGCAGAGTGGTACCTGCCTGTAATACCAGCTACTCAGGAGGTAGAAGCCAGACCAGGCAAAATAAGCAAGATCCTATTTCAAGTGGTAGAGCACTTACCTAGCAAGAATAAGGCCCTGGGTTCAATACCCAGGTATTCTTTAAGAGAATGTTTGTTTTATTTCTATTTTGGGTTTAGTACAGGACCTGTGTTATTTGCAGGAATCACAGTGAATATTGTTCATCACTTTGTCTAGCATGGAAGATAAATGAAACTATTATGGTATATAGTACAATGTTCTCTAAATGTCATGATGCTCCAAGATTATAGAGAGGTGGGGTTTATGTCTATTTAAAAGGTGATCAAATACATGAATTAGAACCACTGTGGGATAAACAGAATAATAATGGGAATGAAGAAAATATATATGAGATATCTTTTGGAAATAGAATAGACAGGAGGTAGGGACTAAATTATGGGATGGTGGTTGTATTTAAACCATACAATTGCAGGTGTATTTAACTGAGGGTGGTAGGGTTATTGAAGGGAGGTGATGATGACATTAAGGAATCCAGGAGGAGGGACATTTTTGGCATTAATGCAATTAATTTGATTTTGAATACATTTAATTGAAGTGTCTATGATAATGTATAGATTGAAATACCATGAGACAATCAGAAATATGGAATGCTAAAAGTATACCGATCATATTTATCATGTAGATAGGTAGTGCAATCATGAGAATAGATGAGATTAGCTAAGAAGACTAAAGATAAATTTAGTGGAGTTCCTACATTTAATTAGGAGAACAGAAATCAGGTAAGGAAGTTAGAAGAGGCAATCAAAAAATAGAAAATAAGCCAAAGAATCCAGTCATAGACATTAAAGGAGGAAAATATGTATTAATTTGAGACAAATGAAAATAGAAAATAAGCCCAAAAATAGAGTCACAGAAGTTAAAGGAGGAAAATATATACTTATTTGAGACAAATAAAAATATATAGCCCAGGCTATATAGTGCAGACTGGCCTTGAACTCTTGATCTTCCTGCCTCAGCTTCCCATGTACTGGGATTATAGGCATGTACCACAGAGGCCAGCTCAAAGGAGGAAAATATTTTAAAGAAGGAATGTTCATGTTATAAAGAGCTCTGAAGTTATTGCATATTATTTTAAGTGCTTTTTAGTACTTAATGCTTTTTTACATCTGTATTTTTCACCTTAACCTATAAAATATGTATCTTTAAATGAGTGTTGTGGTTATTTACATATAGGTAAAAAATCTTTACTGTTTTGTTCAAAAGTTAAAAATATACTTTTCCCTATTAAAGTATGGAACCTCAAGGTCTGTATGACAATGGAAACCAAAAAATTGATTGGTAAACCGCTTCAACCAGCAAGACCTGTTCGTCATCTGACATCTCCCCCAGGTGAGTAATATAGTGTACAGTTCTTTATTTGTTATGGGTAATTTTATTTAGGCTAAATGGCTTTTAAAGTAATTGTTTGAGGTAAATTTTAAAGAAATAACAAAAATTAACAATCTCTGCTGTTTGAAGTGTTTACAAGCATTACCTAAAGAAAAAGATTATTAATAGTATGCCAGTCTAAAGTCCACCAGACCAACCAACAAGAGTTGGAAGAATAATTCTTGACTGAAAGTAACTGTGTACTTTTTTCATGTTTTATTTTTATAGTTGACTGGATTTTGCTCTGAGATACTTCTGACATTAATTGTGTCCTGTACCTATAATTATTGCAGAGCAGTAATGCTAGAGAATTAGCCTTTTAAAAAACATAACTACATGTAAAACAAAAGCAAAAACAACAATCTTTCCACAAAACAACAAATCCTATAGTGGTTATATTATACTCTAATAGAGGTCAGGCCTGTGCTTGAGCTTTGGAACATTATCTAATTTCAGAAAATCTAAACAAAAATAAAAATCTAAAATTAACTGTTTTTTTTGGCTACAAACTATTCTTTTGGACAGATTCTTGAAATACTTGAGACTTAACTCCCTACTTGGAATATTAACTTTTTTATTCTATTTATTATTTGTTGTCACATTGGCTTCTGTTGTCATGATACATGTATAAGTTGTTTCAAGTCTCTTTTGTCCATTTATTCAACTGAATTAACTATTTAGGAAAAGGAAAAGGTAGCCTTTTTATTTGTACAAAAGTGAAGCAGAAAAGGTAGAAATGGTACTAATTAGTTTTCTGTTCTTTCTCCCATCCTCGGTTCCTATAAGGAAGATTGTCTTCACTTTGGTCATCTTTGCTCTCAAGATAGCCATGACTTAGGACAGACCACTGAAATTGATGGCTCTTCCTGCACCATAACTTAGCAATGCCGGTCTCATATCCTTCTGGTGCACTGGAAGTAGTTGTGTAGGATCAGATCTCAGAGTTGGTCATAAAGGGAGCCATAATGAGCAGCAGCTCATTTTGTTACCATCCTTTTGCCAGCACCCCTCTTTTATTTCTGCAGATTCACGTTTTTATTGATCACTTCCCTCCAAAGCTGTTATGTAGGTGAATGGGAGAGGACAGACAGAGGGTAGGCATCCCTGGTCTCTCATATAACTATAATCCTCTGAAGATATAGACAGTATAGAAGGGATTTACTAGATAGAAAAGTTTAATAAATGAAAAAAAATTAATTTTTGCCTTTCTCAACACACTTCTTTACTCCCTGAACAACTCAGGAATCTTCTTATTCTTAAGACTGAGACTAAATTACTTCCTTTTATGAAGCCTTCATGACACCCCAAAATCAAGTCTGTTCTCCCCTAGTAACTTCTGTAAATCTCTCATATAGCTTTCTGCATATCACACTGTATTATAATCATTAGTCATGAGCTTGTCTTCTAAGGTAGACTCTGAACTTTTATCTCTGAACTCTTTATGCTTGTATACTCATCCCCTAACAAAGAGGCTAAAATTCAGAAGGATGAGTAAATATTTGTTGAATAAATGAATTATCAGCAAATATTTCACAATGCCGACATGTCAGTTTTTAGGTGATATTATATCATTTATCAAACTCATGGATATTTAAAATAGTTTTTTCCTCTCCTAACAGGACCAGTGTTCCCTTTCAACTTTCAAAATGAATATCCATGCAACACTCAGTGCTTACAAAGTGGAGTTAGCAGAGTAAGTCTTAGAAGTTGTAATAAAATGACCGCAGGGTATATATAGTTCAGTGGTATGATGCATACCACCATATGTGAGGCACTGAAGCATTGTAGATGGAGAATAACATCTGGCAGATGGCTACTGTATGTCAGATACTAGACTAAGTGTTTTATTTATTTGCTAAATATTAATGATATTTCTTAGACATACATTAAAGATAATATATTACTAGTATACCTGTCACCTAACATTTTCAATTGTAAACATTTTCTATATTTGCTTTAAAAATTTAAAGAAAAAGCAAACATAGTTAAAAACTCCTTGTGTATCTCTCTGTAATTCCATTTCCTTTCTACCCTTCCTGGAGACAGTTAGCCCCACTTTGTTACTGTTTCCATGAGTATACTTGGACTTTTGCTAAAATAAATAGAATTAACTACAGTTTTATATAAATAATATATTTCTATCTTGTTTTGCCATCTTTTTCTCATATTAAGGTTTGTATGAAAAATTTAACTTTTCACTAAGTAGTCACAATGTGAAATTCAAAATATATGAAGTGACATTTAGTGAAGTTTTCCTCCAGTCTCTATTCCCTAGTCACATTTCCTCTTAACACAAGTAATCATTCTTACCCAGATACTTCCAGAAATAAACTGTGCATGTAGAAACATTAGCATATTCATAGATGGAACACTGGTAGCTTTACAATTAATAGAGCAGTCTCTATCTATTTGCTGATACAGAAAACACTTTAATATATGTGGACATATCCCACTTTTGTTCCATTCTTTATTGATGGACACTTGTTTCTGTTTTATAATAAATGCTACAATGACTACCCTTCTACATGTTTCATTTTACTCAAGTTTGATAAACTCCCTGTGACATAAAACAGAGTAGAATTACTATGTTACAGTGTTTGTACCTTCAGCCTTATTAGATAATGCCATTTACACTCAATCCATTTGCAGTGGATGGAGGCTCTAATTCTTCCATATCCTTAACTTGACATTGTCAGAACTTTAACATTTTTTTCTTACCCAATAAGTGAGAAATCATATCTTTTTGTTTGTTTAAATTTTTGATTTTCTGTTGCTTGAGAAGTGGGACATCTTTTCAGATATTTTCAGTATTTTTCATACTCCTGTAGATGCACCACCTTATCAGTACACATGGCAGCCCTGAGTTTCAAAACATGAGCTCAGCTGTCTCTTACCTGTTATTTTGGGTTGGTAATCAAACCCATCTGGACTTTTCTTTCCTTGCCTGTAATCCAGTGATCATGCTTGCCTTATCCTTACGTGATTAAGATAATTAAATAAGATAGCGTGTAGATTTTCACTTTGTAAAACTTAGTAAGTACTCCTTTTTTGCATGCTATGAAAAATTTGAATTAATCGGTATTTCAAATTTTTAATATGCATAGACATGACAGTATAATTTTTGCCTTTGAGTTTGATTTTAAGTTTTACATTTAAATAGCTTTACAAAGTTAACCAATGTTCATCTGGTAAAATTTTCCGATGTAAGAAAAAATTTTTCATTCTCAGAATGCCATATTATAATTAATTCACTCTTAACAGTCAGGAAGGGCTCTGGAGCACTAAAATATTTCTTTTTTTTTCTTTTAACCTCTGCTTAAAAAAACTGCCAATACTTGATTTTTTTCTGATGACTTATTTTGGTGTCTTGGTAGTAGAGAATTATCTCCTTAGTTTTTATTGTGTTATAGCATTATATAATAGTCCTTCTGCCTTTTGGCAGTGTTACTTGGTAGCATTGCAGAAATTTAGGAATTCCTCACAACTTGCCAGTAGAGTGTCTGATGGAGCAGAGCTGTTCATTTTCCAGGTTAGATGTTTCCAAAGAAATCTACCTACCTGTTTCAAAATGGTTTTTGTCAGTATAAGCAGAGGTAATCTTAGGGTAGATTGTATTGACCAAGTTTGTAAAACTGATTTATAAAATCCAAAAACAGTTTATTTATAATGAGACATCTTGCTTTTTTGTCCTCTGAGATGCTCTAGCTGGCATAACTAGTTATTTTCTGCTTGTAGGGAGATTTACGGGGAGCTAAGATGTAGTCAGAATATATCTCAAGCATGGAATCAGAACAAAAGGAATAAAAATGGATTTAAAAATGTTATCACATCAGTTTAGCCAACCTCACAATAAGGATACACTTTCAAGTAGAACTGGAAAACTCTGTGATAAGCTTTGCTCTCCTCAGGAAAAATAAGTGCAGCCAGAATTTGATTCTCTTTGTGTCTTGGATCAATCAGTTTTTATTTCCCCTGTTTCCAAGAACTGTTTTACCTAACAGTCCATACACTTGTACACTGACATCAGGATATATTTCACACAGAATTATACAAGTAAATACTCTAGTGTTTGCAGATTTTTATGAATAAAAACATTTTTGGCAATTAAAAAGTGATTTGGGAATTATTTTAGGACCATGTAATTTGTCTTTGGTCTGATACTCCTTTTCAAAAATAATTATAATTTGTGGCTTATGCCTATAATTCCAGCACTCAGGGACTGAGGCAGGAGAATCTTGAGTTTGAGGCCAGCCTGGGCTACTACAATGATCTAGTGAAAAATTGTTACATGTGAATATATTTTGGAGATGTTTCTGTTCATTTTCTATAAGTAGACTTACAGATTGCTTATCCTTTGGCTCCAAATATTCCTGGGCTAATTTAATTATTAGGAAAATATCTTTCAGTGATAAAAACAGGTTATGGGTTATGAGAAGGTTTTAAACCTGTGTTGAAAAGTGTTTTTTCTTCTTGTTGAGCAGTGTAAGATGAATGGAATGCAAGCCTTTTCTCAAGGTCTTAATGAACAACAGCAACATCAGTCTCCAGTTAAAAAAGGTAAAATTTTACCATAATTTCCTAATTTTATCAGAGTATTTTAGTATTCATATAAAGTTGCTGTGTTGCTTAGCTACAAACCTATGTGCATAAGAAATTTTATTGTAATCTTGTAGATTTATTACTGTCTATATTGTTCATGGTATTGGTTTGACTACTCAAAAGGAGGTTACCAGGTTAGCAATGGTTTAAACAAGATGGAAGTTTATTTTTGTGTTTTATATATCATGTAAAATTCTGACCTTGTTTCCTGAGTGGCTCTGCCTTATGAAATTACTGTTGTCCCAGTGTCTGTTTTATTGTTACACCATCCTCAATACATGACTTCCATCTCATTGCTCAGGATAGCTCTCTGTGCTCCTGCTCTTATGTCCCCTATCTAGTCATCAGGAAGGAGAAAAGATGAAAGGAAGTTCTCTTGCTCTCTTACTGGGAGCTCAGGGACCTGATGCCCTGTGTTCTTAACTGTATCTGTTTAGTTTGGAGCTGTGGGATAAAATGATGAAATACCTCACATTCTTGCCTTTCTTTTTTTTTTTTTTTCATTTTTCTTTTATTAGTCATATGTGCATACAAGGCTTGGGTCATTTCTCCCCCCTGCCCCCACCCCCTCCCTTACCACCCACTCCACCCCCTCCCGCTCCCCCCCTCAATACCCAGCAGAAACTATTTTGCCCTTATCTCTAATTTTGTTGTAGAGAGAGTATAAGCAATAATAGGAAGGAACAAGGGGTTTTGCTGGTTGAGATAAGGATAGCTATACAGGGCATTGACTCACATTGATTTCCTGTGCGTGGGTGTTACCTTCTAGGTTAATTCTTTTTGATCTAACCTTTTCTCTAGTTCCTGGTCCCCTTCTCCTATTGGCCTCAGTTGCTTTAAGGTATCTGCTTTAGTTTCTCTGCATTAAGGGCAACAAATGCTAGCTAGTTTTTTAGGTGTCTTACCTATCCTCACCCCTCCCTTGTGTGCTCTCGCTTTTATCATGTGCTCATAGTCCAATCCCCTTGTTGTGTTTGCCCTTGATCTAATGTCCACATATGAGGGAGAACATATGATTTTTGGTCTTTTGAGCCAGGCTAACCTCACTCAGAATGATGTTCTCCAATTCCATCCATTTACCAGCGAATGATAACATTTTGTTCTTCTTCATGGCTGCATAAAATTCCATTGTGCATAGATACCACATTTTCTTAATCCATTCATCAGTGGTGGGGCATCTTGGCTGTTTCCATAACTTGGCTATTGTGAATAGTGCCGCAATAAACATGGATGTGCAGGTGCCTCTGGAGTAACAGTCTTTTGGGTATATCCCCAAGAGTGGTATTGCTGGATCAAATGGTAGATCGATGTCCAGCTTTTTAAGTAGCCTCCAAATTTTTTTCCAGAGTGGTTGTACTAGTCTACATTCCCACCAACAGTGTAAGAGGGTTCCTTTTTCCCTCGCATCCTCGCCAACACCTGTTGTTGGTGGTGTTGCTGATGATGGCTATTCTAACAGGGGTGAGGTGGAATCTTAGTGTGGTTTTAATTTGCATTTCCTTTATTGCTAGAGATGGTGAGCATTTTTTCATGTGTTTTCTGGCCTTTCTTATAAAGTTTTCATACATTTTTTTAAAATAAATGTTTCCTTAGGACCATTTACAACAGGCTTAAATGGTTTAGTTTTTTTAAAAAATGAATTTCACTGTTTTCATTGCGATCAAAGTTTCATGCTATCATCCAGAAGTTAATCCCCCCCAAATAAAAGTTTTATTTTAAAAATAAGAGTAGGCCCAGAAGTTATATATGGTGCTAGAACTCAGCAATGGCATACCCAAAGGCAAAGCAGACTAGGAAATGTAGTGTTTTACTGAGCAAACAATTTTGATTTTATTTCTGAAGCAAAAGAAAGAATAACTGCTCTCTGGGAGAGAACCAATAGTCTCCTAAACAAGTATTTTTTTTTAATAATAAAAATATTTGTTTGAATTTGACTTCCAAATTTTTCTTAACCATGTGTATACAGCTTAAAAGTACAAATAGTGTTAGCTTTTATTGTGATATTTAACTTCCATATTTCTTTTCTTTCTTTTTTTTTTTTTTTTGTGGTATCCATGTGAGGCCAAACACTAAGCCACGAGCTATATCCCCAGTTCTTTGCTTCTGTATTTCTCAATAAAATATTTAAATTATTGCTTTTCTCTTTCTCTCTCTCTTCCTCTCTCTCTCTCATCTGGGGATCAAACCCGGGATTTTACACATGCTAAGCAGGCTTTCTACCACTGAACTACATCCTAGCCCTTTCAATTTTTGATGTTACATATTGATGTCCTAACTTAGTAAATGAGAACTTAAGCCTTACCCAAAGGTACCTTCACTTCTTCACCCATCTCCCCTTCCAACCGCATAGCTGTTTCAAGGTTCCTGGTGTTAAATCATTCCTTGTAATATTATTGCTGTGTAAACAGCCTACCCAAGAGGGTGCATGTCTCCTTTTTCATGTAATTCTTTTTTTTTTTTTTCTGGAGCTAAATGTTTGCTTTGTTTTCTGTGTAAGTTAACTTTTCTTCTCAAATGCTCCAATAATTCTGAAGCACTTACCTATAGTGTTTATGCTCAGGTATGTTTGTTGTTGATTTCTTCCCCGAAAGGGACTTTCCTTTCAGAATCCTCCCTAGGTCTATCCTGTCCCAGTGTGGGCTCGCTGTTGTTCAGCATTGCTGTGCAGTTGTTGTCTTAGAATAACCGTTACTCCGATCTTGGACTATTTCTTTATAATTCTTTGGCTTCTTTCTCTTTTTTGTTTGTTTCTTTGAAAAAACTGAAGTAAAATCTGCCATTTTAAAATGTGAAATTCAGTAGCTTCTGGTTCATTACAATGTGCAGCCATCACTACTATCTAATTATAGAACATTTTTATGACCACAAAAGAAACCTCATACCCACTCTCCCTTCTATCTAGGTGCTGGCAGACACAAATCCATTTCTGTCTTTATGGATTTACCTATTATGGACATATCAATATAAGGTGGATATATATGTGACTTTTCTGTCTAGCTTCTTCAACTTATCACTAAAATTTTCAGTGTTCATCAATGTTACACTACGTATCACTACTTCTTTCCTATTTTTATGATTGAATAATATTCCTTTGTGTGGAATGCTACTTTTTGTTTATCTATTTGGAAGTTGATGAATATTTGGAATGTTTTCACTTATTGGCTATTATGGAAGAAGTTGCTATGGGCATTTATATGCAAGTTTTTGGAGACCACCAAAAGATTAAAATAATCTTAATTCTTCAAAAATAAAGTCTGTATTGCCCCCTCCAGTACTGGTAACCTATGTCAGTAATGAAGGCTTTTGTCTTCAAGGTCATGCTTTGCTGCATAGTGGGAGCTAGTGCCAGATAAATTAGTGCCACAAAATTTTTTCCAAATGAACTGTCCTCTTCTCGCCCACCCACTAAGCATCCCTGCGGTTTTTTTATGCTTTTAGTAAGATTCCACAGTGTGAGAAAGTTGATTCTGGCAACTTTTACTAGCTTACCGATTGCTTTTGTGGAAAGGCAGACTTTTAAAGTTCCCAAGCATCACTCACATATGTTTCCTGAGTTGTATATTTACTTCTTTCTTTGCCTCCTTATTTTGGTCAAGAATGGTATTGGAATTCTTTTCATTTTGTCTATTTGAACAAGATTGAGATGAGCTCTCAAACATTGTGAGCTAAGTAAAAGAAGCCAGAAACAAAATTTTGACATACTTTAAGTTTCTATTTATATGAATGAGTAGAAATGACAATCTATAGATTAAAGCCAATCAATACTTTAGAATCTTCCAATGTGGATTTTTTTATATATTTCTTTGATATTTTTTCTCCTTTCCATTTTTTCTTTTCTTTCTAAAACTCCAATTTTAGTGATTATTAGTCTGCTAGAATTAATGTTTAATTTTCTTATATTTCCTTTCTTATTTTTCATTTTCTTATCTTTTTTCCCCCTTTCCTATTAGCTTTATTCTGTCTCTTTTTTCTGGTGGAACAGACCAATTTGAAATTATTAAGTCTTTAGTTCTTTTAAGAGCCATTGGTCATTCCCATCACTGAAAAATTCTCATTAACTACTTCCACAGAGTGCTGTAGCAGGATCAGCTGTCCAGTCTCTTCATCCTATTTTTCTCATTGACCAAATTCCTAATTTTTCTAGTCCCAAATTTCTATTCCTTGTATGGCTAAGACATATTTTGTTTATATTGTTTATAATGTTTTAATTACTGTTAATAATGCTTCCTGTGAATATTCATAGAAGTCTTTCATTAATTTCATCTCTATTTTCTTAGGTAGAAGTAGGATTACAATCATATAATTAGCTGCATACATCTTTCACTTTCAATGGCAGTTTGTTTTCAAAGCGATTCTATCACCCAATAATTACTATGAACTCAGTTGCGTTATCAGCACCTGGTATTTTGACAGTTGGTATTTAACTTTTTTTTGATACTTTGTTATTACTTTTTTAAGTGTGAGCAATTCTAATAGTCCAATTTCCAGATTCCTGAACAAAGGAAATGAAAACATAATGTCCACACAAAAACTTGTGCTATAACCATTTCATCCATATTGTCAAATGTTGGTATATTATTCATATAGCTCCTATTTTATATAGCTCTTTATTCTATAGGATCTGTCCAATAATTCATTATTAATCCCAATATTGGTCAATTGTGTTCTCTTTTCTTGATTAATCTATGTAGATATTAATAAATTTTGTTTCTCTTCAAAGAATCAGTTTTGGATTTTTAAAATTTTATACTACTTGTTTCTACTTTGGTGATTTCTTTCTAAATGCCTTTCTTTACTTTGAATTTAATTTGCTCTTCTTTTTCAGCATCTTAAGGTAGATTCTTTCATCATTTGTTATTTTCTTACTGCTATGATTCAAATGTGGTTTGTCCTTGCCAAAACTCATGTTAAGATTTAATTCTGTGTTGCAATGATATCAAAGTAGTGGGCCTTTGAAGAGAGCTAATTAGGTCTTCAAAATGGACTAATGCTAACTCCTGTGGGCTAGATTAGTGTTCAGTAGATGAGTTGTTTAAAGTGAGTCTGGCATCTCTCCTGAGTCCCTCTAATACATGTATGCCCACTATGTGATGTGACTTGCAATGGTATCTTGAAGTCACAGGTTCCTTGCCAAGTGCCATGCTGTTCAGATTTTCCAGCCACCAGAATCATGAGCCAAATAAATTCTTTTCTTTCTACATTACCCACCATGTAGTGTACTGTTATAATACACAAAATCAAACTAAAAACATTTCTTATAAATAAGAATGTTTATTGACTTTAGCTATACTCCACAAGTTTGACATGTATGTTGTATTTGAATTGCCATTCAGTTTGAAATATTAACTTTCTCATTTTACCTATAGATTATTTTTGAAGGTGAGTTATTTAGTTTATAAAATATTTGTTTCTTCCTAGGTTCTTCTTATTATGGATTTCTAATTTAATGTTTTTGCAGAGACTACAAATCAATGTGATTGATAGTATTGTTCAGATTTATCTCTTTACTGATTTTTTTGTATATGTTTGATAAAGGTTTTTTTTTACACTCCCTTATATTATTCTTAAATTGTTCATTTTCCCCTTTATTTTTATTAAGTTTTGCTTTATGTAATTCAAAACTGTTATTAGGTAGAACACATTGGTAATCACATCTTTGTCTGATAGCAAGAGAGCCATTTCAGCCTTCTTATCCCTAGTCTTTTCATGGCATTTCTCTTTCTATCCACTTACTTTCAACCTAAATGTGTTTCTTACAGAGTATATAGTAGGGGCTTCTTTTTTGTTTTTTAAATCTACCTTTTCATTTGGAAGCCTTTAGTGCAGTGTCTACTATAGGAGTCAGAAAATTGACTTGTAGGCCAAATGCCTGTTTTTATAAGTAAAATTTTGTTGAAGCAGAGGTACATCCTTCTTTTATATATTATCTGTATCTGCTTTTATACAAAAAGATAGAATCAAATAGTTGTAATACAGATCATATGGCCCAATTCTCAAATGCTTGATACCTGACTCCTAATAAAAAAATTTACTGACCTTTCTTTTAGATCATTAACATTTTAATGTGATTGCTGACATAGTTGGGTTTAGGTGTAATAATTTAATTTCTTTTTTCTTAATTACTTGGCTTTTCAATGTAAAAGGAAAATTAGAAATGGTAGACTTTTTCAAAGTTCTTCTTCTTTCTCTTTTGCATAGACACTACTCATAATTTTATAAAATATGGATAGTTTAGGGACATCCAGAAAGAAATTAGCCAGAAAGTAGTCTACAAGAGCATTGTGTTTTGTAGTGTTGCATTTAATGTTTAACATCTGCAGAAAGAATTAAATACAGCAGAGATTTCCTGTTGAAGCTCTCGAGTGTTTCCATCTGCAGAAAAAAACCAGATTTTCTGCCTGATCATCCAATTGTACTTCAAAAACCAGTAAGTAATTTTAAAATGTATTTATTGTCAAATTATATTCTAAGTATTTGTCTTTAATGTTTTTATTTGATTATATCTGTAGATTTTTAACCTTTTGTATTATAAAATATTAGTAATCTAGAAAAACAAAAATCTAAATGTATAACATAACCAGTTATTATGAAATAATTATGCTACTCATGAAGTAGAATGAAATAATTATATTTTGCTTATGAAATATTCTTCTATTGAAAGGTTATCAAAATGCCTTTCCATATTCTAAAAGTTCTATATTATTTTTGAATCAACTTCTGTAATCCACATTTGATTTATTTTACTGTAATATATGAAGTTGAGATCAAGTTTTATTTTTCTGTATGGATATCCACTCACTATAGGATAGCCCTATGACACCTTTGTGACAATATATCTGTGGTCCATTTGTGGACTCTTTATTCTGTTCCATTAGTCTTTTTATACATTAAAACAAGTGATCCTAGTTATCTTTCTTCAATGTCTTTACTATTCTTAGTGCTTTGTATTTCTGTGTCAAGCCATCAAATCCATCAAAATAAATATACAGTACATCCTCTAGGATATTTATTAGAAATGACATGGATTTTGACATCACAATATAATTTGTGGTGTTATGTACTGGTGGTTCAAACTTGGACAAGCATTTACTTCTGGAGCCACAGTTTTGTAACTGCAGGTAAGATGAGACCTCTGGTGGTTAGGATTAAATAAAATATTGTATGAAAATGCTTAGCAAGACATTTATTTTAATCATTATGAACATAGTAAATTATTTTTATCCTTTGTGTTCTTTACTAACATTTGACTGACTAAAATATGCCTTTTTTCTTTTTAGAGTTTTCATAAACACTATTTAGATAGAGGAAACTAGAATTTTATTGAGATGATACACATAGTATTGTTTTGCTGAGAACAGCTCAAATGTGAGACATACAGGACTATCTCCATTTTCCATTTTTGGAATTCTAAACCTTAGAAACCTGTATCATTTATTTTCTCAGCTGAAATTTTAAAAATTTTATATTGATCATAGTTTATATCCCTTGCAACCTAGAGACCCCAAGTTAGTACTTTTTTTAACTAATTAGGAAATAAAATGTTTTCAAAATAACTCAGGAATATTTAATAAGGAAAAGTATATTTGATGATATTTTGAATTTTCTCAAATGTTCAAAGATCTTAGGGACAAAGATCTTAATCTGTAAGAATAAATATAAACTTCAGTGCCATATAAAATATAATCACGTTTTCATTTTTAGACTTTGATATTTAACAACACTTTATTTTTTAAATAAAAGTTTGATATACACTTTATTTTGAACAAACACATTAGAATTAAGTTTACTTTTGCCTTATGCATTAATAACATTTGTAGAACTAGGTTTCACAGAAACAGAACAACAGGTTTAGAATACAGTGTGGTATATTTAAAATGAATTTCATAGGTTTATTGAGACACAGAACTGTTTTTTATTTGACAATTCCAGTTAGTTTAATAGTTTCTAGAGTAACATGCATTTATAGCTGTAAACACTAAGTCGGTTTACAGTATTTGGTTTAATGAACTAATTTGTAAAAACTATATTCAATTAACCTAATTGATGAATTCACTTTCTTCTATATTACAGGAAAACAACCAAAGTTTTAAGTAGCATTTAAAGAACAGATGGATTTGAAGATAAAGAATTATTCCTTTTATATTTTGGACACCTGCAAATGAAGTGGATCTAATAACAATAACTGTAATGGACTGTGGCAATTCAATTTATTTTTAATTTTGATGGTTGGCTATTTGGCTTTTCCTAAAATGAGAAAAATATTTTAAACTATAAAGAATTTTCTAATCAGTTTCAGCTTTGCAGGCAATTTCCTGCAAAAATTGGAAAGTAACACTAGAAAGTAGGAATTTGGTTAGTGAAGTGGGAAGACTGTGAATTTATAATTTGCATGCTACTTGCAATTTTTTTGTTTTTCATCTCTTGTAATAATGGAATGGAAATGTAAGCTGTAAAGATTCTCAAATATAAAGTATTTGCTACGATGTATATATGGTACATAATTTCTTGTTGCTTTTAAAGTTGCTTTTGTTCTTTTTCCCACAAATTTCATACCAGCATTTCAACAGATCGTTATGATAGTTCCAGAAGCTAAGAATAATCCAGGATGTTCAATAGTTGTCAATGACAGGAGGAAGAATTTTTAATAGAAATTTCTTTTCTGATATATGATTAGTCTTTAGGTTTTTAATAATAACACTGTCTCTGGTTCATAATTACTAGCAGAAATTGGCAATTTGAAAGTATAGTAGTGAATGTAACTGAAGTTGAAAAATAGCTGCTACTTATGTCACTAATCAGACCATGTGAATAGTAGAAGTTGAGCAATTGCAAAATAAAACTGATATTTTTATTTCCAAAAGAGGAAAAATTTAGGCATTTGCAAATAATTGAGGAGCATTAAGTTTCAATTCTATAATTTATAATAACAAGAACATATATGGATAAAGAATTTTGGGTTTCAACTTTTATTTCCTAGAAATTTAATACAATAAATCTCCTGCAGTTTTTCACTTGGGACGTTACTGTTATAAAAAAATAAAGTTTCTTCCAGCAGAGTGTCAAAAAATTGCTGATAGAAAGGTAAGTATAAACTCTCTCTACTTCTGTTCTCTCAGATCTCTGGGTCTATTGGCAAGGCATTCAAGGCCATCACGTGGCAGAAAGTTTATCTTTCGCTGAATGTGAACTCCTAAAACCAGTACCTTTCCCTCACTGGTTTTGGTGCTTGTTATCCAGATTTCACTTTTAGTCCATGGTAGGTTTCCCATCTTGGTCTTTCAGCACCCACTTTTTCATTATTTTTTTCCCCAGAAAAAGGATTGTTTTTTAAATAGGAATTTAAAAAATGTTTATTAACCATAAATTTATTGCTTACTTAAAAATGAGATATTTATACCTAGGGCCCCATTTTTTTTCATTTGTGTTTTTCCCTACTATTTTCCTTTTATTCTATAGTTGTCAGTATAATGTATGTATGTGAATACGCACATACATATTCACACACATACTCTTAAAAACATTCACAAAAAATTTATCATAACTAGAGTCTGAATTACCATAGAGTTAAATTGGTTTGCTCTTTTATTTGCTTATTCTCAAGTCCTTTTGATTCTAGTTTAAAATTTTTATTACAAGTAATTCTAGCATGCAGTCTAGGGAGTTTTTCCACTTAGCATTGTTACTAGCAGAGCCCTTGTTCTACCACGCCACTTTGGAAACTACCCAGTGCCCCAAGAGGCCTCATATGTTTTTGAGTTGAGTACCAAAGTGGGCCAATGAGGCAGTGTTCTGAAGACATTCACAATTTTATCTTTGAAACCATTTATAACTGACATTTTCAAGAAGAGTTTGTATGCCGGAAGTCCCTTAGGGTTCAGTCTTTTGATCCTTTCTTACTGTGTACAATCAGAGTGAGACTGCAAAGACTGTTTTGTTATCTATTTGCCTTGGTACATATGTATAGCTTGTTTGAATAATCATTGTACAACTCCATTAATGTTCTTTGCTTTGTATATATATTAAAAGAGTTGAGCCAGGTGTTGTTTCATAGTGCTTGTCATCTTTGGAATTGAACAGAGGCACACACATACACACACAACATGTCTGTGTGTGTGTCAAAATTTATGTCTTGTAGAAACTATGAGAAAATTCTTTAATTTCATTTAGATTGAGACTGAAGAATATTAAAAGGTATTTGGTAAAAGTCAATGTTTTATAATTGGCTTGAGAAAATATTCTAGGTCAAATTTTATATTTATGAAATAAAATTTTAATTCAACCTTCTCTTTTTTCTGAGTTTTCAAACATGAAAAACCAGGAAAAATATATCTTACAATTTGGACTAGACAATAGCATGGTAACGTGTTTCTATCTGTGTTTATAAGAGTAGATAAAGTATATAGTTTTATACCACCTGTAGTCTTTTTAGTGTTTTATATTTCCTCTTTATTCATTTGGGTTAAAATTATGAAGTACTATATTTAGAAATCCTTATTTGAATACAAATGTTTCTTTTTTTGTAAGAAAAATTACTGTCTGGATCATATACCAAAACTATTTGCCATAAAATTTAATCTCTATATCCCAAAGTAAAACTTTTTTTTGCTTGATAATGCTTAACTTTCATTCATGAAATTATGATGCTAATAAATGCTATAGTAGTATTACATTACCAAACAGTACTCTTAACTTATCACAAAATTGTTCACTTGTGACAAACCAGTTTTTAACCTGACAGATGGTTAGAGATTCTACAGGTTATAGCCAAGGTTGTTTTATGCCTATGTACTAACTTTTAAAGAGAATAGTCATAGAGCCATATGACAGGAATGGAGCAGATATTATTAATGAATGCTTCACTCAGAAAAAACTGTTACTAAAAAAATCATGAAACACTGATTTAATCCTTTATAATAGTATATAACAATCTATAAAATCTGTCCTATTGAGTAATATTCTAAAATTCCAACTTTAAATACTTTTTTCTTTATCATAATTTCTTTTTCCCAGTTTTATCACTAGATGGTTTTAGATTGGTTACAACGTAGCAAAGCAATTAGCATCAAATAGTGAGGACAATATTGAACTTTGAAAGTTGAGCTAAAATTCACATTAATGATAGTTGCACTTTAGAAGAGTACACTCAAACAGTAGATATATTAAACAAAAGTATACAGTAGATCAACAGCCACCGAGTTTTCTAATTGACATTTTAGATGAGAACATTTGTTTGCACTTGGATCTATAAAGAAAAAGTCCAGGAATATCTAATTGTTGTTCAGGATCCACCATGAAGCTGAGAAGAGAAAAACATGTTTTTAAAATAATGAAAACAACTTTATAAAGTCCAAACTGAAAAAATATCCTTGCTCCTCCCACATTTAGGCAGTACAATTACTTACTTTCTAGTCACCATTTTCAGACTATTTGAGATGAGACTGAATTCTTCTCAAGTGACTGTAATTTGTGTTGTATCTTTTGCACTTGGTTGTAGTCCAAGATTTTTGTTTTGTTTTGTTTTATATAAATAGGGCTTGTCTTGGCAATGAATTCCTGATGATAAAACCATGTTTTTGTCGTTGTAATCTACCCAATATTGGCATTAGTTAGAAAATATAACATACTTCTACATATAGATTTCAGAAAGATTGAATATAAGCAAATGGGTATATTGTAAATAATATTTTTAGTGCATCTAGGTTTTTAACACTGGAAATGTTTTCCCCAGTGAATATATATATCCCAAACACAAACTTAAGACAAAGAAGTATGGTTGGTGGAGTGATCTGAGAAACAAATGAAAAGGAATAAAATTTGCTTTCAAAGCTGTTTAATTTGCTAGCAACAGGATATTACTTTCTTGTGTATCCTCTTTCTGCGACCATAGGCTCTTCTCTCTGACGTGGAATATCTTGCCCCACAAACTGAATTCTCAAATTGTTTTTGTCTCTGTGGTTTATTACGGTTAACAGACCTGGGCTGCTGTATTCCAGTATATTTAATTTGTCTGATTTTTGTATTTGAGAATTCATAGGAATATATTTTAGTTTGCATTTTTATACCTGGATGCCATTTGGTTTAGTTGCTTTATCTTTTCAGATGTATCTTAGGTAAATTAGCACTTTTACTAGAAATCATGATTTTGGAATTAAAAATAAAACCTACTTATTCCTGTGTTTTAAATGTAATAGCTACTTCATTTTTTTCAGATTTTAAATTTTAATTTTAGGTTTAACTGTGCAGCTAATATGTTTCTAAATGTTTTTATTTTTAAACTTCATAACAATACAATACACAAAGTGTGCAAAACTCGTTATTAAAAACAGTATTGGAACCCATGTGCCCATTAAAGCCCATAAATAATATTGCACACTAATTCCAGATTTTTGTTCTGGAGATGTCCCTGCTGGTGCACCTGTAGAATTTTAAAACAGGTTGGGAAGTCCCAATAAATGTTAAAATCTTGTTGGAGATAGGTTTAATACTGTATTAGAAACCAGCCTAACTTTTCTTTTTGTTCTATCAAATTCCAGCAACAATGATTTTGGGCTCAGAAAAGAACTGATACAATTTTTTGTGTTCAATTTTTTTCTTAATTAGAAATGTGTGTGCGTGTGTGTGTGTGTGTGTGTGTGTGTGAAAGAGAGAGAGAGACAGACAGACACAGAGGGGGAGAGAGAGAGACAGACAGACAGAGGATGTATGTATGTACTGGTGCATAATGCCTGTACTGGTGACACTAATAGTGTGTAGAGAGTTAATAAAAGATAATGATGAAGTAAAGTTGGTCTAGAAAATTGTCAGGTTACTGTATATTTCCAATGCTTGCAATAGCACTCCCCACCCCAACTCTTAACTCATTTCCCCCTACCCCTTCTATATTATTTTTCTACTCTTTTTGTTGAGGTGTTGTTTAACCTGGAAAGACTTCAGTAATCATTAAGAACAAACTTTGTCCTTTCTTTCCAGATTGTTGAGCCAGTGATTTCAGGATTGGGAGAGATGAAAATGAATATGATAGCAGACATAAAAATGACAAATGTTGGGCCTTCTTTGACATTTTCATAACCTATGAATTCATGATGATGAAGTCCTTCATTCCTTCATTTAGGAAACATTTATTGCTTTGTGCTGTACACTTCTAATACTGCATTAGAGTAGGAAATATGAAGATAAATATCTATCTCATTTTCTTAATTCTATGCACAAAGACCGCAATAGTCATATATACAGAATTTGTGTTCTAAGCATTTCCTCCATGTTCAAAACAGACTGTGTAGGCCTGGTATAATAAAAATTAAATTAATTAAATAAAATTAAAGCTTTCTTGATAAAGGCAACCACTTTAGTCTGTTCCTTAACCCACTATCACACTCACCTGCACCTCTTCTAAGCTATGGTGTCTTGTAATATAAACCGCCAAGATGTGAATCATAAGAAAATTTCAACTATGTTTATGCTTTCTTTTGGAGGATTGAATTTGTGCTAAAAGTGAGAGAATTAGATATCTACCATTCTCTAGGTCTGACAAACCCACCCTTGAGCTCTAAAGTGAATGCACAGCAAGAGCTAAGGGTCAGACCTGAGCCAATTTGATAGCATTCACACCTTGCTTTCTCATCTCTGTTTGTTCCCCAATCCATTGAAGTTCTACATCAGCTTTAAATTCTTACAACTGTATTAAAACTTGTATTGAGCAGTATCTTGTAAAATCTAATTTCCAGTGCCAATTTTCAGTCACTTTCTACTACACATGCCCCAGGAGGCATTGCATCCTTACATTTTACTGCTCCTTTGATACTCTACTGCTCTGATTTTCCTCCCTTTGATTGGTACCTTCATTCTCCTTAATGAGGGAAGCTCCTACCCCTTTACTAACCTTTTATAGAAAGAAATTTCCCCAGATCTCTCTTAGGTACTCTGTTCTTCTCCATATACTTTCTAACTAATTCCAGGCTTCAAATGTCACCTTTAACTCCTGGAAACTGCAACTTCAAGTTACCTCTAATAACTATTATTTCTTGTCCTCAACTATTTTCCCTGTAAACATTTCCTTTTGCCTTCTCAAAGTGGGCAGACAGCAGCACTTTATAGGTAAGGGCTGTGTTTTTTACTTTGTGCCTTCTTTAGCTCCTGGCATAATGCTTGTCCAGAAGGATCAGTTAGAGATAAATCAACTTGGGTTGTAACACATCTGTACCTGGAAGCAATGCTAGGAATCTCTCTGTATAGCTATCCTTAACTAGCAAAAACGCTTTGTCTTTCTTATTATGTTTGTGTCTTCTCTTCAACAAAATTAGAGATAAGGGCAGAACAGGTTCTGCCTGGAAGCAGCAGGGGGAGCGGGAGAGGGAAGGGGCTGAGGGTAGGGGACTGGGGGGCAGGGAATGAGCCAAACAATGTATGCACATGTGAATAAATGAATAATAATAAAAAAGAACTGAAGCTCAGTCAGCACTAGTAAACATGAAGTACTCCAGTCATCCCAATAACAAGCACACACTAACGTTCACTAAATATGTGTATACTTTGAATTGAGTGGATGGGTAGATGAACAAATAAATTTTAGTTCTCACTTATCTTAAATAAGCTTTGGCTAGGTCAGCCTTCTTAGACAATTATATTTCAGACCCTCTCCATTTTCCTTCCCCTCTCTTCCTTTACTACTTTATGAATATTATTTTAACAGTTACTATAACAAATACATTTTTAAGATGCTTCATTATGGGCCACTTATTTCAAATTGTATTCAGTGCTCTAAATTATGATATAGTAGTAAAGCATTTGAATAATTTTTGAAAATATGATTTGAATTGTACTTTAAGTCAGTTAAAATTCTGAAGGTGACCAGCAAACCACTAATTAGGCTTAATATAGACAGGATACAATAGAATCAACTAAAGACTAAAGGCTATAAAGCAAATATTTCATTTCTCTCCCACCCAAATTACAAGATATATGAAGAAATACTAAAAAGAACAAGACTGATAAAAGTTAGGGGGAAAGAACATACAATCTACCTTAAAATAAAATAAACAGAAGATAATACACAAGCACACAGAAGCACCATGAACCCAGGATAATTACCAGGAACTAGCATAGTAGATGTGAGTTCTGGAGTTTCCAAGAAATCCACGTTACTTCTTTGGAATGTCTTGCTATAATTCGTCTGAAGGTGGCTGTGTAAATGATTATAGGTTAAGACTGTGCATTTTTGTTTACAACCTTCCTAAGTAGAGTGCAGCAGAGATCACAAGATGGCAAGGCTACGGTTGGTCTGGATTACGTAAGTGTCTGGGTATAGAATTCTTTTAATGGTTATTTAGCTGTGAAAAAGACTGAAGAGTCACTAGGTCTGGATTTTTTTTGGCAATAAAATGGTTTTATTTATATGAGCACAGCATAAATTACTACTGTATCTTTATAGGGATGTGTGGTACACAGAATAAGTGTTAAACCATAAACAAAACAAGAGTCACTCCCTGGATGCTTGGGAGGCTGAGATCAGGAGGATTGCAGTTCCAGGCCAGCCAGGGCAGAGTTTTCCAGATCCCATCTTTGCCTCCCCCCCACAAAAAAAAAACACACAGCAAAACAAACTTGAGGTGTGGCTCAAGCAGTAGATCACCTACTTTGAGAGGGCCTGCTGTGCAAGTGCAAAGCCCTGAGTTCAAATCCCAATCCTACCAAAATAAAAGATTGAAGCTAGAGAACATTAATTCATACAGAAGATTAAAAAATTGATTTTAATTTCAGGAAGAAGTTTAAATAGAAGAAAGAGTATCTTAATTGTTTGGGTGTTTTAAAAATAGGATAGCTAAGAAGAGGGACGAAGAGTTTTCCAATTCTAGAGAATAAAATGAAATAAAAATCATCTGTCTTAACAATGTAAGCCTAGAAGCATGGAATTGAATAATTTGCCTATGAGGCGCCCTTGTATGTCTGAAATACTATTGGTATCATTTTGTCTTAATTATAGAACAGTGTTTTCTAAGTATTATTTATATGTCATTTTTAGCAGGGCTGGGGATGAAAGCCAGGGCCTCATGCAAGCTAGGCAGGCACGCTACTACTGACCCTCAAAGTGCTTCCTTTTGAAGTCACAAGAATAAAATTTTAAAACAAAATATGAATCATCTGAATTTCCAAGTGTTCTTTTACTTCTATTACCATACTTAATACCCTAAAAACATGGAAAGCTAGGGTTTTTTTGGGCAATAAAATGGTTTTATTTATATGAACACAGCACAAATTAATACTGTATCTTTATAGGGATGTGGTAACATAGAATAAGTGTTAAACCATAAACAAAACAAACCTTTTTAAATGTTTGAAATATATTCACAAAATATTGAAGTATTTAAAGAAAAATGAAACTACAATCAGTTGGCTAAAATGCTGGTGATTATGTAGTTATGTCTAGTAGGAATTTATAATGAAAAAAACTCAAAGGAGACTGAGAACCATAGTGTTTGTATAAAAATGAAAAAATGTAATGTAGGAAGTTCAATTTGAAAATATATGCAATAACTTTTATGCTCTCCATTTATCAAGTACTTACAAATCAGTAAAGTAAGTTAACATGCTATAATAGTAAGTGAAAGAATCAGGATATTTAACTATGTTGTAAGATGTAATTTTTATGTACTTTTGTTCTTTATAATTGTCCATATCTACCATTTGGATTTTTATCCATCCATATATCTAAAGAGATGGTGCTATGGTAATTTTGAGGGAGATTTAAATTTATACACTTCTTATCTGTTTTCTATACTTTCTGCAAAAAGTAGGTATCAGTATTATTACAATAAGCAGACAAACAATAACAGGTTTGGGCATCGAGCTCATACCCTTTCTAGAAAGCTGTTTGTGTCAATATGTTTTCTTTTGGTGGTACTGGATTTGAACTCAAAAAGTCTGGAGGAGAGTGTCAAGTGGTAGAACACATGCTTAGAGAGCTGTTTCAGTATCACTTTAAACCACATAAACCATAAGTTTATATAATTTTATAGAAGCAAATATGTCTGTCTCATTTTTTGAATTCTGTATTGCTTGTTTTTAATCTTTGTCAATATTTTTAATTTACCCCTTATTCATAGCTTGGAGACATTTAGAAAAGTTATGATGATCTTAAGACATTATATGTAGTTTTACTGTAAAATAATTAGTGCTTATCTTAAGAAACTCCAAACCCCCCACCCCACCTTCCTTAGACACCAATGACCCCTATCTAATTCTTACCCCAAAGCATCAGTAAAATGGTAAGACTCAAAGTGGAATCAGTGTCCAAAGTGTCTGTACCTCAAGAGGGAAGTGGTTTCTAATCCAGGAAATAAATACCTAAAAGGCTAGGATTCAGTCTAATAGACAAGCAGGTTTAAGGTGAAGTAAACAACCATGTAGACTGCTACCCCTCTGGTTTCACAAATCAGCCTTGCTTACAACTTACCTATTCCACATACTACTGTTCTCCCAGAACTCATAAATCATGTAGCGAGATTCATTTGAAAGCTTCTGTATAGAAATACTGAAATAGAAAAGGCATTATTAGCCACCAGAAATTAAAGAAGCAAGTTAAATTTTATAATCATCTCTACATATATTATGAAACAATCCATGTAAGAAACAGCCTAAAGGGCCTATAGAAAACTGAACAGGCTATCCAGAATTTAGTAGTTCAAAAGCAGGGTGTGATAATACCAGCTACTCAGGAGGTAGAAGGAGGATGATCATCAGTTCTAAACTAACCCAGGCAAAGTTAGTTGAGATTTTATCTCAAAAACAAAATCCAAAACCAAAGAGGTGGAGGTGTGGCTCGGTGTAGAATGCTTGTCTAGCATGTGCCAGGTTCTGAGTTTAGTACCCCCCAAAAGAATTTATTGGTTCAGTATGTTAATTCAAGATTTATTTGAGCATCCGTTGTGTCAGAGTTTATAAAAAATGTACTTGTGTTGCTCATGCAGTGTGGAGTAGGAACATTCATACGAAGCAGTGAGAAAAGACAGAAACAACTTAAGCGAGAGATGATTCAGATCAAGGTCGAAATAAAGGAATAAAGAGGGAAAAACCAAAAACTTACTAAAGAGTGGGAGATAAAAGCAGATTCCTTATAAGTTAATTCTGAAAGAAATTTTTTTTCGCAATATGTTCATATTAGAAAGCAAAATGAGCAATTAGAAAAACAAGGATTTTGAATTAACAGAGAGCAAAGAATTGACCAGTGTTAACAGTTGATTAATGTAGATTAAGGATTTATGTAAGTATGGCCAGCAGGTGGCAGTAACTACACACAGGAATTTTAATAGTAGTTTTTTGTTTGCTTGTTTCAGTCCTTTGCCTGTAGCTTAGCATTTTCCATAGTTTATCTAATTTGGTTCATTAAGGTATGATGCAGCAAGTATTATTTCAACTTTGTATTTTACTGAGTAAAGGATCATAAGAATTTCATACAATGTGGAATTTTTGTTAATGTGGAGTTCATGAATCAGCTTTTTGAGCAATTCTGTAAATCTCAGATATGATCTTCAATTTGATATGTATGTGTACTTTTTCCTGGGAAGAGAATCCAAAGCTTCCATCGTAGTGTTAAAGGAATCTGTAACCCTCAAATGTAACCAAAAAGCACAATGGACAAATTTCAACCCATGTCTGTTTTCTTAGGATAAAGTTTAAAATACTCAGCCTAGCATTTCGGGTGCTCCATCAATTGCCTCCTGCAAAGTAATTCATGTATATTGTTTGTTACATTAAAAACCCACTCATCATGCTATCTGAACCTTTCATTTTTTTAGAATAAGCCAGAACCTTTTTGGTGACATAAACCCATAATCCAGCACTTCAAAGTCAGATGCAGGAGGATTGCAAGTTTGAGGCCACTGTGGGCTACATGATGAGAACGCTTGCCTCAAAAAACCAAGGACTATGGATATAGTTCAGTGGAAGAGTGTTTACTTCAAGTGTGTAAGGTCTTGGGTTTAATCCCCAGGCCTCCACCCCCCAAATGAAATTCACAAAAGTTTTAGCATAATGATCAAACTAAAGAATTAAAGCACACATTACAGTGTGATGTGGCAGTTGTTTAAAGAACAGCCCAACAAAAGTACTGCTGTCCACTACTTAACTGTGTTATCTTGGCCCCATTACTAAACCTCAGTTTCCTCATCTGTTTAATGGTTACAATAATAATACAGTGGATTGGACAGGACTTTTCCTTGGCCTCTTTCCTGAGTGTGTACCTTGCCATGAATGTGCACCTTGCCTAACTCACAGGGCCTAAGCAGTGAAGTAAATAAACTGGCCACCAGTTTATATCAATGCTGATTGATGATTAATGGTTCAAATCACCCCCCTACTTGTACTTAAAGATGTCTGAAGGCTGATATAATCCACAGTCCTGTCCCCTAGATCCTTGAATGAAGTCTTGAACATAGTAAATTTCTAGAATTTTATAGCTGAGAGTGACTTCAGAGCTCATTCGGTTTAACAGCTATGAAATTTTAGGCAAGAACATGGCTTTAATTGCTACTTTCATGAATAATCCTACTTCCCCTGGTAGATTCTATAACCTTTGAAAGCAGAAACTATTCTTTCTCTGGTGTCAAGCATGGTTCAGAGAACACATGGATGCTACATTTATGCAGTTGGCACCTCCACAGGCCAAAAGGGTGAACAGACTTGTAATTACAGAATACGTGAAGAATGCCATCGTGTGTGTGTTTATACATCTCCACAAAAATGATTTAGAATTTTTCACTAAACTCTTTAAAAGCTCTGACAAAGCCTTTGTCACTCCTTACACTTCCAAGTTTCCAAGTCAAAAACTTGGAGGGCAAAAATTCTAAATTGCCTGAGTTTAAGAAAGTAACATCTTGCTGTTAGGTTAACCCAGAAAGTCCAGGAATATCTAATTCAAGGATGACCAAATATTGACAAGAAAGAGTTAACACGAGTTTTGGAGTCAAACTTGGGCGGATTGTTTAACCCATCCAAGCCTGTTTCTAAGCTGGATATAATATATGTCTCTAATGATTCTTAGGAAGAATAAGAAAATGGATGTGAAAAAAATTAAGTCCTCAATAGTTTCTACTTTATCATGACAGTATTGTGTGTTTAGTCACAGTGAGGTGTAGCTAAACATCATGGGAGAAGAAACTGAAAAACTATAATTCATGGAGGTTCATTTTATCAGCCAAGCACTAAGCAATTGTGGTGTGTGCACTGGGGCACAACAGAGGACATGATTGACATTTGATTACTCATCACTTGATACAGGAAGAGAAATGAATTTGATTAACATCTGAAAAACTGAATTTAGACAGGCACACTGGCCTAAGGCCTCTTCCATATGTGTTCTGTGTGTTGTGATTCTCTGATGCTCATTCCATCTGGTAAAGTCTACATTTTGATAATTCTATTAAATTAGTTGAAAAATCAGCAGTACAATATGAAGAACCATAGAGAAACCAATCTTGCAAAAGAAAATGAGAGGCCAGAGTCTCTCCTATAGGAAAGGAACATTCTCCTTCCCTGTGCTTCACAGCAAGGAGCTGACAGAGCAATTTTCCTTGGCTATTGAGCGGACAGTTTACAGCAGGCACACAAATCTCTCTCCTCCCACAGCTTGTTCCTCTCTGTGTCCTAGTGGCACCCAGTTGTGTTTCCACACACATTAAAGTAGCGCTTCTACTCCTTAAAAGATAAACTTGCACCTTTTTAAAAAATAAATGTAAAACATCTTAGTTCCTGAGATCGTGATACGCTGAAAGAGTCTATCTGTATATCCTCACTAGCCAAAAAAGAGTTTACTGAGCTTTGCTTTCCACAGGTTGTAGGGTGGGAGGTATGTATAGGCCTCATTTTCCAAATACTCAATTTTATTTTTAAATGTTTTTTTTTTTGTAAAGATGTTTTCTCATATTGACAAATCTTTCTTGAGTTACTCACCTAAAAAGACTAAAATGAAATTTTCATTTGTGCCTTTCTGAGCCTGATGTGAAGCAGAATCACACAATAATGGAACCGGAGCATTTCCTGCTATTCCTGCTACAAAGATAGCCCTGGGTATGACCTGTTAATGTTACTGAGCAAATACTTGTATTCCAAAGAGAAGCTGAGACAGGAAAGCAACAGTGACCCCCAGCTCATGTTTTATGGTCTTTAGTGAATGGAAGCCATTGTACACATCACATGGATTTTCTTTTTTTTATTTTTGTGGTGGTATTGCAGCTTGAACTCAAGGTTTTGTGCTTGCAAGGCAAGTATCATAGCACTTAAACCATCCCTCTCCCCACCATCCTTTTGCTTTTAGTGTTTTTTTCAGATAACTTTTCTTGTTTTTGCCTGGCCAGCCTCTGATGGCAATCCTCCTACCTTTGCCTTCTGAGTAGCTGGGATTACAGACATGAGCCATCATGCTTGGCTTATGAAGTTCCTGATAAGGAAATTGAGGCTTGCTTAGAGCGGTAAGCCTTTCCCCAATCCACAAAGCTAATGCAAGACTAGCTTTACTGCCAGTTCAATCCTACTTTACTTCTAGAGCTGGATAAGTATTCTGTTGTTGTATGAATAAAATATAGCCACTGGAAAAAAAAGCAAAACACTCAGACATAAAATATGCATTTACATGCTCATATACAGATGTGTGCCCAGACAAACACACATCTGGTGCAAAGCTTTCCCAAAGCAATGTTTGGAGAGCATTATGAAATGTAGTATATGCAAGCTTACAAGGTAGGGGTAGCTTTGGTTGTGGAAATTTTGTTTTCTTAAAATTAATTTTTATTTTTTCCTTCATTTTTGTGCTGGGTGGGGGTACACAGTGGCATTTACACAGGTTCTTACAATCCATCAAATACACTTGAATTCACCTCCTGTACTGGTCTCCTTTACCTCCCCTCCCTCTCCCCCCATTCCTGGAATAGTTTCAGCAGGTATCATTTTTTCACTTACATATATGTTGTACACATTCTTTTGCCCTCTTACCCCCTTCCCCCAATCACCTCCCTCCTCTCACTGGTTCCAGCCCTCCCACCCTGGGCAGGACCTATTCAGCTCTCCTGTTCTCCAATTTTGTAGAAGAAAAAACAGAAAAGATAAAAAGAAAAACATGACATTTTAGCTTGTTTGAGACAAAGGTAGCTACACAGGGAGTTCCTTTGTGGTATTTCTATGTATATATGGATTATAACCCCAATTGGTTTATCTTTAATTTTCTTCTTTTTACCTTAGTCCTTTTCTTATGTTGGTTTCAGCCGGTTTAAGATTTCTATATTCATTCTAGTACAGAGAGTATATCAACCATACATAAGTTCTTAGTTTCCTTCTTTTACCCTACCACTCCCATGTGTGACCTCCCCTTTGTGTGACCAGTGTTTCATAATATTGCTGTATTTGTATTATCCCTGTATTTGTGGAAGTTTTCCAAATGCAGGTGAGTTTGGGCCTGGGCTCTGGACTTAAGGCAGGTCATGGGCTGGCAGAGATGTGTAGCTGGGTAGAGGTCAGGGCTAAGGCATAGTAATAATAGATTATACTAGCACATTGATAGACTGCTGTGCATAGTTGAGGAAGAGTGTTTAGGTAGGGGCAGAAATGATAGCAGTGGTATGGATTCTAGGATCTGTGGGTAGCATAACCATAAGGTCAGAACAAATAACATTTGATAAGATACTCAGAGAATTACTGCAGGTTCCTGACTAAGGGAATTCTATAATTGTTTCTGGAAAAATTATTCTAGTAGCTGTTTATTGGACTTGTTGAAGTAGAAAAAAATTGAAGATGAGGAATTGTATATTTCAGTAGCTTTAGATATTAGAAGCCTGAGTTGAGTGGTAGCCATGGAAAGAGAAAGGGAAGGAGCTGCTGCTCCTTTTATTAAATAATCAAGGCCTGAAATCATGACTTCAGAGACTCCTGCAATTTTATAATGGCAGAAATGGTCACTAGGCCACAAGGCATGGTGTAATCAGGCTAGATGTCCGAGAATTGAGGATTCATCTAGAGATGATTTTAAATGAGTGCTGGTTGCCTGAGTGCAAAAGGGGGAAGTTCAATCTATTTGAAGCTCCTCTCCTCATTTAGATTGTTTTCCACTTTATTTCCCTTGTTCCTCCTAATGATTAAATCAACTAAGGTCCAAGGATCAAAGAGAAAACACCCAGTTAAATTCTGTAAAGGCCATCATACAGAAGGCTGTACTGCTCAGCGGAATTTAGTGTAAGGATCGTCAAATGTCTATCTTCTGGACCTCCACCCTCATCTAAAGTGCAACACACCTTTGTCAACCTGATAATGCTAGCTCAGGCCTTGTACTTAAGCACTTACCGCAAGCATCCACTTTGGGCTGAAGCGCTCTCCACGTAGTGTTTCAGAGCAAGTTGGAATTCTTCCAGATCCTCTTCTATTACAGACATCTGACGCTGCACAAGCATGATGTGCTACAGAGGAAAGGGCGAGCTTACTGCCTTGGTATCACAGAGCCTATCTAAGCTGACCCATTCCATGCCACCTCACAGAACAAGCCATTGTCAACCAAAAATGGGACCAAGGAAAGCCGAGGTCATTCCATATATAAAATCTTATAAAGGCTGTAATATAGGCAAGGCATTTTCTTGTCTCTAGTAACAGAAGCTAAATAAAGTATCTTTTGCAATGATGCATTTTCCTTTTAAAAGCAGTGATTCATTAGAAAGACTGGGGAGTTAAGATTATTTGTATCAGAATCTTTGGGAGAAGGACCAAGGCACTTGCATTTTTGGAAGTTGCCCTAAGTGTCTCTAATGTGCAACCAGGCTGTCATCATTGCCCTCAAGTCAAATACAAAATTTTGAAGAGAAGCAGTTATACTTAGGCATACTTTCAGCTTTTGGGGTATTTTGTGATATTAGATATATTGTGACATTCCTTACAATCAAATTCCCAAAACTATGTGCTCATGAATGCATTTCCAATGGTGCATCATCTATTCTAGACTTCCTAAACATATTGCACACTTTCAATAAGCCCTGTTCAGAACACCATGACATTAGGTAGAGCCTGTTTAATGGATCATAGTGAGCTGATGCAACTCCTTATAACAAGTCCTACTACCAGAATAGCAATTGTAGTTTGAAGACTTTCCTAGAGATCTGACTGGGTTTCTCATGGAATTTAGATCTCATTAGTCCTTTTTTCTTCAAAGATTGAGAAAAAAATTATGTGTGCAAAAAACATGAGTTGACATCAATCACAAAAGTGCAAAAAACAAAAACAAAGCACGACTCAACAATAACATAGAATATAAAGAAAGCTTTCACAATATTTTCAGCTAGGTAACATAAGAGCTAGAATGTATCTATCTCCTGGTCTACTGTCTCCTAATAAGTTTCTCACTTCAGGTTAATAGCTCTGTTTGTTAAACACCAATTATACTGTAGGCACAATGTTAGACACTCAACATATCCAAGAAATGTTTGCATTTTGTGACAGGTAAATAATAGTTGCTGGATTCTGCATATATAGTTAAGGATCAAGATAGACTTCTTGTCTTCAAAGGTCATAGTAAAAGAAGAAACAGTGACATGAGGTGTGGTTACTGGCGCATAAAACTGACTATATGTAAACTGATCAGCAGTCTACCAAACTTTTGAGGAAATTGTATTGCCAAAGAAATTATGACCTCATCTTAAAAATTCTTGGGCTGTTTAGGCCTTAGAATTATATTTGGGACCATAATATATTTGAATAGGCAGCAGGCTACATAGTACTGCCCTTCTCAGGGGGCTATTTCAGATGGTCACAGAGGATAATGGACCAATAAGAATTTTTCAAAAACAACAGGGAGCAGGATTCCCCCCAAGAAATGGGAGCCAGTGTCTAATCACAGAACTCCCTTACTGAAAAAGAAAAATCTTCCCATCTGGAATTCATTGTTGCAATCAACCAGTGAATGCTATATGTTTCCCATTTATCACCCATTCATTACTTAAATGGCATTTATCCTGGCCCAGTTCTGTCATTCCTCCCTCCTTTCCCTCTCTATTCTGCACCTATGTGTGTGTCACGTGGAGAGATAGCTTACCTTTTCCTTTATAAGTTTGACAGATGCACCAAGAGGCTACATCCCTGACCTTACAGAGAAAGCCTAGATTTTGAGCTAAAAGCAGTAACTGTAGGAAACATTGGGTGGTGTTCCTTGTGGAGGGGTCCCTGTGTGTGTTCTATATGTGATAAAAAGGATGCAAATGAGTATCTGATGATCTGAAGTGGATTATTTCAGACTCTAAGATGCTCATCCTCTTCCTTTTAGGTATACCACTAGACTCTGTATCATATCCTTCCTATGGTTAGATGTAAACACCGATGAGTTCTCACCAACAGATATGACCAGAAATACCATGCACCACTTTTGAGCCAAGACTTACAAATGAATCTGCACATTCTTTTCTCCTTTGCTGTTGGCAGGATGAGGACAAAAAAATATTAGGGATGGGAGAGCCATGGATGAGAGGATTTGGGGCCCTGAATCATTGTGTAGACTGTTTACTGGACACAGAACTAACTTTTATTGTTTGGGAATCATTCTACATTTTGGATCTATTTATTTCCACAGTCTAGCCATAATTGGAAATAATTGACCTTTATTTCCTCTTAGGATTAGGTCAGGAAATGCAAACCCATAACTATCTCCCTAAGGTCTTTGGGTGTATACAATCGGCCTCTTACATGGCTTACCCAGTCACCTGGTTTTAATATTAATAACTAAGTAGCATTAATCTTTTGCCAAAATAATGGTGGGAATGTCCTTCTCATGGAAACCTGGAGGGATTTCCTGGCTGGTCATTTGTGATTAATAGTGATTCAGATGATTCTCATGGGTTTTCCTAATGAAATATGTAAATTTGTCCACCATAATTTTTTTTTTTAGTCAGAAGGCGGTTCTTATGTGATCCAGTAGGAGAGACTATAAAAATGACCAGACTATTTCACTACTCCCAAAACTCAGGCATTTTGAAATGTGACTTTTTTGCTCCTTCCATCAAGACATGGTTTCTATTTCGACTTTGATTGAACCTGGGCTAGCCTTCTAATTGGTTTTGGCTGACAGAATGTGGCAGAACTATTAGTGTGCCAATTTCAAGTTTAGGGCCCAATAGCTTTGCTTTTTTTCCTGGATTCTTGAGATTGTCATGCAAGCAAGACCTGCTATTGCAGGGGTCAGGAAACTTTTCCTATAAACAAAGATATTAAGTACTTTAGGCTTTGTGTGGAAAGCCAAGCTATGATTCCTCTTGCAACTACTCAGATCTGCTGTTTTAGTGAGAAAATAACCATAGACAATACATAAACAAATAGGTATGTCTGTGTTCCAGTACAACTTGATGTAAAAAAACAGGTGACAAGCTATGCTTTTCCAAATCCCTGTAACAGAGAATTAAAAACCACATGAAGCAGATCTGAGCACCTAACATATGAGAATGGCCAGCCAAGATCAGCAAAGCTGACATGCAACTAACTACAGTTACCTAAAGGAGGCCATTTGAGACCATAAGAAGTACCCTAATGATCCCATCTACATTTCCTACCTGTAAAATTGTGGTTATTTTAAGCCACTAAACTTTGAGGTGGGTTGTTATGCAGCAATAGCTGATTCATTCACTTGAATATATTGATATATCATTTAGAATAATTAAACTCTTGATTTTTAGACTTTACTTTGTAACCTGAGCAATACATATGTTCCCACCCCTCTTTCTTAGACATTCACACAAATAAATCAGTTTATGAGGCACACATAACCTACCTAAATTTGACTATTCTTACAAGTGGAAATGTTTGAGTTGTAGGATATGAGATTAGAAGGGATGGGGGGAAAATGTCCTAGTGTCTTCTTGATATTTTTATCTCTTTTATCAAATATACAGCTTGAAAGCTTATTAAAATCTTATATCTCAAGGTGAGAATAGTTAGCTCTCAGGATTTGTTCACTGTAGAACATTCTTCCATGGTGCTATATTACTTAAGCCACACCCCCAGCTATTTTTGCTTTAATTTATTTTTAGGTAAGGTCTCATGCTTTTGCTTAGCTACTGGAGACCATGATCTTCCTAGCTCCACCTCCTGAGTAGCTGGCATTAGAGATGTGTGTCACCACACCAGGCTCTTTAACCAAGTTTCTTATCAGCTAGTAAAGCAAGATCATGTTTTTACAGTTCCTGACATACTGTTGGTGTTATTCTAATCCCCAAACTCTTAAGAATGTATAGCACAATGTATAGCACAATGATTTACTTCACAAAACACCATTCATTGGTTAGATGAGGGTAGAGAGACAGAAAAAAGCATTAGATTTATAGACTCTTAATGTACAATAAGCTGTTTTAGTGCATGGAGTAGCAATGTGCTGAAGAAAAGTTCAAGTTTTTGAAAAGCACAAGAGTATGTTCAAGGTTTATTTAAATTTATCATGGCTTTTAAAATGCTTCTTTTGAATGTATAATCTGGAAAGCGACTTCTTATTCCAATCATCTTCTGGTAAGAAATACCATAGAAGGCACACAATGGCACTGGCAAAAAGGATTCTGGTGGATCAGTGGACTTGGCCAGCCCCAGGATGTGTGTTCTAGTTGGAGCAATTTCTTTCAAAATTCACAATGATCTTTCATTGATTCACACCCACTGCTTAGTACTTGACAGCTTTCATAAATTATACTCAAAGTTTCAACAAGCCATATAATCATGGTCTTATTCAGATCAGGTTTTATCCCTGATATACATTTATTTTCTATTTTATTATAGCAAGAATAAAATCGTGAATTCTGAAGGTTACTGTTTATAAAGTATGCCTTTGATAAACCATTTAAAACATTTTAATATTTCCATGGAGCACCATAGTGTTCTTTTAATGCAATGTTAGAATAATCAATGTAGTAAGATGTTATATTATTTTTAAAGAAAGATTCTGCTTATGCTTTCTGCTTTTGTCTTAAATATGTCATTATGGAAGCATTCACTGACCCCTAAGATAGGCTATGTCCCCTTATTATGCAAATCTATACTTTCTGAATCTTTATCACATATTATAATTTTTAATTAATTGCCTGTATTTCCTTTTAGTCTGTAATAATCACCAATTTATTTCTAGACTCATAGAGTTTTACATATATATAGTAGCTTAAGTTATTTGTGGAATAAAAAATCAGAAGATTTCTTGCTTTTAACCATTGGCTTTGTTGGAATTCCTTTTATAAATTTTAAGTATTTATTCATTCTGAAAGATGATTTGAGGTAGCTGGGAAGCTCTAGAGCACTGCACAATTGTTAAGTACTTCTTAATCTCTCTCCAGCATCTTTTCTTCTTTCTCAAGAGCAAAGGATATAAATCTAAAATAACTGACTTCACTTTTACTAGCTGTCTGGCTTTTAACAACTTACTTAATCTTTAAGTCTTCTGATACATAAAATTGAAATAGTAGCATTTATATCATAGAGTTTGGGGAAGATTAAGTAGAATAGTGTGTGTAAGAATCTTGCCCTGATAGGTATTAAATAAACATTACTTCCCTTACTATGTACTGATGGGTTAAAAAAAAAAGTAACATCCTGGAGTCACCATTATATAATGGTTCAGTGCTCAGAAAACTGGAAATGGCAGCTGCTAGGGTTCAGGAGTTTTGCTGCATATTTAAACAAGCTTACCGAGAATCTGCTCTGATCTTGTAGTAGGAAATCTGATGAAACAATTACCTGTCAGTCACAACCTCTCTAGCAAAGAGGAGTGCTCTGCTTTAGTGACTAGAAATTCAACAAACACTTGGGTTGCAGGTCTGGTGTCAAATAGCTGGAGTTCAGCTATTGTATTTGAACCTCTCTGCACTTTAATTTCTTCATTTGTAAAATGTGGCCAACTATTGCACCTCATTCAGATTTTGTGAGGAGTAAAAGAGTTATATGTGTGGGTGTATCACATACTTGATATATAGCAATGGTTCAGTAGAGACTGGGTTTTTTTTTTTTTTTTTTTTTTTTTTTGGCAGTGCTGGGAATTGAACTCAGGGCCTCATGCTTGCTAGGCAGGTGCTCTACTACTTGAGCCACTCCACCAGACCAAAGATTGGTTTTTTAAACAAAACATAATGCAAAATTTTTTTTTTGCTTTCTGATGTGGAATTTATTTTTCAAAGTTCTCCTGTATTCATAAAAGGAAAAGGAAAATATCTCTTTAGTCAATAGAGTCTATCTTTTGTGTGTGTGCTGCTGGGGATAAAACCTAGGGTTTTGTACAGGCAAGCGCTCTACCATAGGGGTATATCCCCAGCATTAGCCAATGAATTCTAAAGCTGATTTTTGGCATTAGGATAAATCATAAAATACTTAGCAGGATAGGAAAACTAGTTATAAAATAACAGTGAAAAATGGTTTTGATCATTTTAGCATAAGCGGTTTTACAGGAATTGGTAATATTGCATGTACTACCACTGATGAAAAAATACAACTTTTTGGGGACAGTTTTGGAGTTTTAAACTCAGGATCCTTTGCTTGGGTCTCATATTTTTGGTTGGGGCTGGTCTCAGATCATGGTCCTCCTATATGGGCCTCCCACATAGCTGGAATCATAGGAGTACACCACAGTGCCTGGTTTAATTTGTTAAAACTGGTGCTCACTAACTTTTTTGCCAGGATGGCCTTGGACTGTGTCCAGTCTCTACTTCTTGAGTAGCTGGGATTAACAGATGTGAGCCACCATGGCTCACCTGAAAAAATACAACTTTTAATGACAAGTAATTTATTGGTTATTTTGAGACAAAGAACCAGTTCAAGCCATTACTGTGTCTATTCACAAAAAATATAATTATTTTTATCTCTACACATGGCTTAAAATAAAGAATAGTTTTTCCTACTTTCAAACAATATTGACAACTGAACCAACTCTTCCAGTCCTATTTTTTAAAAATATTACCATACACTATAGGATTAATAGCATTGTGTGTGTTCATCTTCTAGAATTGGCACTGACCCGCCTCTTCTGTTACAGACCTGCATATGGCATAGCTGCTGCCTTTCACAAACACCCCTTAGATGATTATTCTCCCTCAAGGTAGATAGAGACTATAGTTTCACATTAGGAAATTAATTAAGGACAAATAATTGTGTCTCACAACATTAGAAAAGTTATGTTCACTTCTCCTGAGTGGAGTTTCCCTGCAAACCTATGAGACAATAACACAGGGTCACAAAATTAACAATTCCTATACCTATTAGACCACATAAAGTAGCTATCCCTCACACAGGTGCCCCATACTCTCTCCTCTCACTGAAGTCAACCACTCTAAAATTTGGGTTTCCTGATGAATTAACATAGATTGCATCCTCGTCTTTGGAGAAATAAAAGTTTAGATCATATACTGAAAATTACAGTGTATATCGGGGAAAGTCTGCCTATCTGCAGGATTCTAGTGGAAGTAGCCATTGTTTAATTTTTCTGAGACTCCTCATGGTTCCTCTGAAGATCCCTTTGTGCCATGAGTTTGAACAGATGGTCAGGAGCCTGACACATGGGTGGGAGACACCATCTTCTACGCTGTAGTCAGTGCCCATGGATCACACAATACAGAGATGAAATGCATTTCTTATCTTTGTTTTGTGTAAGTGTGACCGGTTGTTCACATCTATGAAGTACATACCACGTGTAAAGTATTAAGAAATAGTGATTTCTAGGTACCCAATCTTTTAAAATCCATTTCCCCATTAAATGTAAATGAAAACACACAATTTTACCAGATAAAATGCAGTATAAAAACCTGTGTCAAAAATAAAGTAACATAATAAAGCATTGGTATGCATTGTTTTCAATTAATTTATTTACCAATTTCTTTTTGTTGCAAACTTTTAGGATAACTGTCCATTTTCTTTCCAATTTCCATAAATTGCTACTAGTCTTGATAGACATCTTTTCCCCAAGTTTATGTGTTCTCTTTTCTCTAAACAACAATTTATTCTTTGAAAAATTATTTCTGACCATTTAGAGGTCTTTGGCTTTAGGCTAAATGCTAGAGATACAACAATGAATAAAACCAGGTTTCAGCTCAAGTATATACAGTATTCAACTTAGCTGAGTTTTCAAAGTGTGTATATGATAAAATTTACATGTTGCCCTTCTCAGGCTATCATATTCTTTCAATTATTTAATAACGCATTTGATAGTACATGCAGAAAAATTCATTGTGCATCCATTACATGCCAAGTGCTTTCCTAAAACCTTGTGAAGTAGGTACTATGTTTCCTCAGATTACAGTTTAACAATGCAAAATGAAATATGTCCATTTATTACTTAAGTTTCCATTTTTTTCATTGAGATAATAGCTTTCGAAGAAATTAAGCCATCACTACACAGCATATATTTCTAAAACTTTGATCTGGAAAAGTACTTACAGATTTAGTGTTCCCTTCAATAACTTCTTCTTCTAGTGGTTCAAGCTTTAGATCCTTCAGTTAGAGGAAAAAAAAGTAGAATCCCCCAGAAGTTAATTAAAATGAACATGATATATTGACATGGTAGTTTTTCATGGCTAATCTTGAACCAAACGAACCTCATTATCAGAAAGGAAAGGAAATAATTCAAGTTTTTAAAAATTGAGCTATTCCAATAAATATTTGTACAAATCTACCATTTCTAAGAAGCTATGAAGCATTTCTAAGATTACTCAATGCGTTAATCCTCTAAATTTACTTCACTGTTGTGATTACAGAGCAAAGTCAAGGAGAGAGATGCATTAAAACAAAAAGGGGAGGATAAAACGGTAACGAGAAAAAGCTAGAATGACTAAGTCTAACAAGGTTGATTTCTTTTACTGTTGAGTATTCTCGCATTTCTACATTTCTTGGGAGGTCATTTTTAATAACAGTCTGTTGTTACACATTTACATTCTAACATGTTTTACTTTACTAAAAAGAAAGTGATTTTGAAAAGTAAATGAAAATACTACTAATAATCACTAAAAATAAAGGACTTCTATGAAGACCTTCTGCAGTGATCAATGGATAACACTAATGTTCTCAGTGAAACCATCAAGTGTGTAATCTCCAAGAACTTCATTCTGTGACTATAAATCTTAGCACTTCTTCCAGCTGACGATTATGCACAATTATCCCTTCAAATGGCTAAGAAATGAATTGAAGGTTGTAGAAATCCAGCCTATCTGAAATAACATAAGCCTACCAATTACTGAAATATGTAGCTCTTGCTGTGCTGTTCTGTGGAGGAACAATGGGCAAGTTGTTTTACTGTTCCTTTTGTGTTCAATTCTGCATTCCTAGGTGCTCATCTAGCTGGCTTCTCATCTTTCACAATTTAGCTCAGTGCAACCGTCTTAGTGAGACCTTCTCAGACCACTCACTTTGAGTATTCAACTCTGCCATCTTGGTCATAGTGCCCTACTTTTTCTTCATAGCACTTTCCATTATCTGATTTTATCTTGTTTCTTAGATTTGTTAACCTGTTTACTTGTTTTTGTCTGTCTACACAGAGATCAAGGATCTTACCGGTTTTGATCACTGTTGTAATCCCCCTGCTAGAATAGTGCCAGACGCATCATAGTTAATCAATCACCGAGAAATAAATGAATGGCTGGATGAATGCCCCATATAAATCATAGCTTTTCCATAAAGACAACATTATTTAATGAGTATAGATGTAAATTAGATATTAAAAAGTACTCTACAGATAGAAACTGTAACTTAGTAATCTTTTTGACTGATATTTCCTGATCCTATATTCCATGTACTTTTTAGTTCTATCTTCTGTTATCTAAGGCAAGAAAGACTTAAAACAAATCATGTGGCAGGATGTACTTAATTACTCCCCTTTAAATGAAGATGACCTATGATCTGATGATACACTGAGGAGTTCATGAGGGAGGAAGAGGTTATTATTGTCTTTGTCATTTTGCTTAACATTAAAGAGGTTTTCTGCAGGTGTTTGAAGCAAAACATAAGATATAAATAACTTCAGTTTATCCCCACAAATATTCAGAGAGGCTTAAGACAAAAAGAAGACCTGAAGAAATCTGTAGAAATTGCAAGTGTTATTTTTTCCCAGCTGAATGGAATTGGGGTCGGTTTACAGTGTAGGAAGGATTCATCATAAATACTTAATGGGCAGAAAGGATAACATATGTTTCACTACAGGTTACACTTCCTTTTAACAGGGAGATCAAACCTAGTGCTAACAACTGCAGAAAACAAGGGCCTAACGCACTTAGCCACTGTTTGGCAATTGGGTAGTTTTCCTCTAAAAACCCAATTCAGCACAATACAGAATAAGTTGTAGAAGAAAACTGAACTTGCACTGCTTCTCTACTCGTTAAGACAGTTCATGCTGAGCTCCACACAGCTGGAGCCTCATGCTGAAACCCATCACATTCTACTTTCAGCAAACCTCTTAGACACTGTTCTCGAAATGAAACCCTTTCATAGGAGGGGAGGGAGACAAAAGCCTAGGAAAGAAAAAGAGATGTGACAATACTTTGATTTAAAGTTGGAAAATAAAAAGATATGACCCATGTTTGAGCCATCCCTTTAAAAATAACTATATAAATTTCCAACACCACAGTAGTTTTGCTAAAAGCTTCAAAACCACTTTAAAAAGAGGTATTTGTATTCTTTAAATGAATTCAAACATATTTAACAACAGAATTCTCATCTCTTAATAGGGTTTAGTTTTTTAGTCTGGATTTCCAAGCTTTCAAACATTGGAAAACTAATTTTCATAGCTACTATTTTTTCCTATGCTTCCTTTTAGTCTCAGTTTACATATCAATTAATGAAAAAGGAAAGGAAGAAAGTTGATTTACAGCAAAGTCATAGTTTAGGTGTTTGCTCTGTAAGAGGCTAATGTAAATTTAATAAGTGAAAATGCACTGGCAGAGCTACTGAATTCTTCAAGGTTGCTTCCTTTCCCCCTTATTTTAGCTCTTCTTTTGCAAGATCTCTTTTTCAGTGATCTTTCTCATCCTCAGGATTTGAGGTTTCATCTTTGTGGAGATAACTTTAATACCTTAATCTGTTGGCTTGACTTCTCTCCAACTAACATTTGACTTTGTATTTCTGCCTAAACCAGTTTGCCTTCTGACCCCACCTCAGAAATTCTCTCTCACTTGTCTCTTCATTTTTGGATTATGGTCTGTGATAGAAAGGCTCCAGTCCTCAGACTCTCACTGGGTTTTCCACTATAACCATTCAATGGTGCTGTTAATTTCACTTCAAGTCTTTCAATTTGGATTTTCTTTTCACTCAGTACAGTCCTATCTCTTGATATATCTCCTCCCAGTAGGTTGAAGTCCACAAAGCTGCTCTTTCATGCCATTGTCTGAGTGGCCTGGGGATAGGGGCGGGGGCAGGCGCTGAGCAAAGTCTTTTCTTGTTTAAATACATTTTGCATTTGTTTTAATCCAACTTGCATCTTGCTGCCCAATTTTCTATCTAAAAGATCTTTTTGGTTTGGTACTTGCCAGTTGAAAAGTAATATATGCTTCCTGCTGCCTCTGAGGCCAAATCCAAATCCTTTAGTCTATTACTTAAGGCCATTCATGGTTTGGTTCCATCCATCCATACAACCTTAGTTGTACTACTTCCCTAAATGAAAGACTGAACCAAGCTGTTCTACCCAACTTTGCTCATGCCACCACTGCCCTTTCTGTTTACTCTCTGTTTAGTAAAATTTTACTTCTCCATAGAAAATATTCATTTGTTTGTTAGCTGATCAGCACTTATTCCAACTTTAATGACAATACATTTTCCTTTCAATGAATTATCTTTTCTCATTTCCATGTAGTACTCTAGGATTGCTAATCAAGATGTTCCCCCTCCTCTACACGAAAGGCCAGCATGTGACCCTAATAAACCAAGCACATTCCACCTCATGGAGGTAGAATCTTCAGCAGAAGACAAAACAGAGCAGAAATGGTGGTTGGGGCTCAATAATTTTGGTGAAGGTAACCCAGGAGACTAAATATTTCTTGCTACCTAGATCTTTAGTTATCTTGTCTCTTGACTTTTCCTGAATTCAGGTCTCTAGATTAGCTTTCTAGAAAATTCTCAATTTAAATAAAATAGAAAGGTGATTTCAGTTGTTTGCAATCAAATTTCTAATTGAATCATCATTGGTAAAGCCCAGCTTAAACGCTTCCTGCATGTGAAGTCCTTCACAAGTACCCAGCTGAAAGTGATTATTTACTCAGGAAACCGTAGACGTTAGCATTTGCTCTAATCCCTTGGCCTGTATCAGTTAATCAGCAAATATTTACTAAACATTAGCTGTGAATTCAGTTCTGTGGCACCACCCATTTAGAAAAATAGTATATCAACTCCTCTCTTTCTTTAGGAATACACCTGGTCTTTATAAGTATATTGTGGGTTCTTCAAAGTCAGTTACTCTTATCAAATATAAATGTTCCTTTCTGGTTGCCTAGTATTCACAGAAAACATTTTCTTACTGATTGACAAAAGTTGTTTAATAAAACATCAGGAGTACTTTATATTAGTTGAATTAATAAAGACACAACAATTAGGAGCATATATTTGTAGCTGTAAAGAACTCTTCATCACTTCCTAACTTGCTTACTTACATTCTAACTTGCTTGCCTACTGTGCAGGTTTAATATCAAAATTATCAGTTAACATGTTAATTTCTAGAGCATGGAATCTCATCTTTTAGTAGATAGCATAGCCATTTCCCCCAACTTTAAAGATTCTCTAGACTTCAAATAGGACATCCCTAAGTGCTGCCATTAGCAGCATTCAAGCATCTGCCACTTAGGAAACTTGATAACCTAAAAGTCAGGAAGTGTGGTTGATTTATTTATGTAATTTTCCACCATATATCTTATTTTAAATAAAATTGGGAGTCAGGAGGGTGGGAGAATTCACATGAGCTTTTATATTTGCTTTAACAATAGGACAAAAAAGAAATGATTCCCCCCACCCCCCATAAGTACTAAGCAGATATTCACATGATTACTTGAATCCTGGCTGTTATTCTCTCCATGGGGCAGTCATGGATATGGAAGCAATGAGGATACTGGGTCAGAATATCTTGATAAATAGGAGAAAGAAAAGGCAGTACCCACCTTCTTTTCCAGCCTATCAATTAATTTCTGGAGTCTGTTTATCTGAGTCATCCACTGGTTGTCTTCTTCTAGTAAGCCTTGGGAGGAGATCACAAGGGCAATATGTTAAATTTGATTCAGGGTAGGAATGCTTGGTTATCTTTCCTTTCACCCTGAAGGAGAATGCAGTGTCATTTACTTGTAAACACTTGAAAAACTATATTCCTGTGAGTGGATTTTAAGTAGTTGATTAATAGAGATGTATGCATCTCAGTGGGCTCACTTTCACAGGCTTTTATTTTTTTTCTTAATGTTGTTGTCTGTACTGGCCTTTGATATTCAAGAGAACAGATCCTACTGAGCAACATTTTTACTACTCCAGAAGGTAGTTGGTTTTCTTTTGAAAGAAAGGAAAGCATCAATCAGTAATTCTAAACTTACCTGTAGAGCAGTGACAGGAACAAGTGAAACCATAGGCCTGACTTACAGGGTATAAACTGCTATAATCAAAAAGCAGTGCAAGAACTGGTGTTGCCTTTCCCAGGAACTAACCTGAGTACACATGAGCTCTAGTCATGGCTTAGTGGTTCAGAGTGCAAACTAGGGCCTGATGCTCTATATTCGTGAATATGACACATACATATAAACACTCACACACATATAGCTATGTAGTATATATAAATATGTGTATGTATACATGCATATATCTGTGTACTTGCCAGGCAGAGCTGCTAGGCTATGACACAACTGGTGACACTGCTCAACACTTCTCACCTTTGCAATTTCAAACTTACTTGGTAGAAAGAATGTGTGTCATTAACACTATTAACTCAGTTTTTTTTTGTTGTTGTTGTTGTTGTTAAAATTGCCCATAGAAAATGTAACTTACATGCACTATGATGAAGAAACAACAAAGGCTGCACTACCTGGGCCACTGACATTAAACTGAGGGCTGTTGGGGGAGAAGCTGTTGTGTCTCTGGACTCGGCGGCTGGATCGCTTTCCAGGCCATTGAATGGACAGGACTTCTGGCTTGGTTGGACCTTGCCTGGAACAACAAAGAAAACACTGAACCTCAATGGCAAGGCTTCAGTACCTTGCTTCCAGGACTGGCTCTTCAAGTAGCAGTCACAAGTTTGTCTGGGTACTAGTGAAGTTTATGACAAGTAGTACTTGCAGCCGTACTCTAGAGATCCAAGGATCTTTGGCACTGTAGCATTTGAACCTAAGGGAGAGAATTCTGCACCTTTCCTACTCTGAAAACTAAAAGTCTAAGTAAAAACTGTGTTTTAATTTGTAATTTAAGAAAAACTTTCGTTATTTGGCCATTAATGGAAAAAATCTGTATATTGCTGCTATTGTATTTTGCTTAATTTGAGAACATTCATGGCATTTTCTTTCCTCAATTAACTTTTTATCAAAGTTATATATTCATGTATTTAAAAAGTCAAATAATTTTGTAAATCTTATTTCAGCAAACAATCTCCCTCTTCCCATGCCTAGACAATACTACAACTCCATTTTCACTTAGGCGTCCCTTTTTAGCAAATGTACATTCTGGTGTCCACCTTCCTATCAGTATATAGCATGCTTAAATCACTATGTTTTTATATTGTTTTAGGCTTATATCTACTAACTTCGTAATACTAAAAGCTCCTGCTTGGAAGTCATTTCCAAGAAGGGGAGTCTGCTTAAAAGGATAGACTCTGCTCTGAGGGAAGTTTCTGATCTTTACTTATTCTTCTTCCTTGGTTGGAATGCAGACATGATAGTTGAAACTTCAACTATCTTGGACCATTAGGCAAGCTTGAGAATCAAAGACGTGCACTTCAAATGTGAAAATGATAAATCTGTAGAGATGCCATACTTACCTTAGGTTGCCCCCACCAGATTTCTTTAGTAGGAGAAAATAATCCCTTAGGTATCCTCCTTTTGCCTCACAAAGTAAAGCCATTTTGTGTGCTTTTCTGAGATTCTGTGATACCAACTGCATTGCATCTTGGTTCTTACCCTACCTCTTTAAGTTTAAGTTTTCCAACTTTTAAATCAGTTTTTACTAGTCATCCTCCTTCCTGTAAAGGAAGGATTTTTGCTTCTTTGGCTCTTTTGTCCTTCTTATTTTTGTGGGTTACTGCCTCCTTTTATTCTGGCATGTTTAATATAATTTTTGAAGGGTTTATCACATATATTTAATCACATATATTTAATCTCCAGTATCTGGCTAAATCTCCCTGGGTATTTTCCTATGGCATAACACCACTAGCAGCTTTGGTGGTCAGAGGAACAAATTATTAAAACCGCACTTCTCTGTGTTCCTGCCAAGAGACTATGAGCTATCTAAATCACTTGTAGATGGAGATTAAAGCCTTTCCTTACTTCTATAATAGTGAACCATCAAAAGTTAAAAAAAAATAACTTCCAAGTCCAAAGGGAATCATTTATATCCGTGGATATAGAAGAAACTTGGAAAACAGATCAAACTTGCAGATTCCATTATAAAAAGAAAATCCACATATAATTAAACTGTGCTCCCAGAAATCTAGTTTGTGAGGAAGAGAGGCTTATGTAAGCGGACAGGGGTCCTCTAGAGGGAAACTTCAGCATCACATAATGATGACACTTGTCATTGGCTATTAGGTTTTTTTCCAAAAGACATGAAATTAAAGTGGCTCCCACTAAGACAATTTGCCAGGGCAGACACAAAGATTGTATAGAATGCCATCTGAGAATCTCACCTCGTGCCATTCCAGCTGTAGCATCCCCTTTCTCTGAAATTGCCATTTTCACATGAATGGATACAGACATTTTGCCCTACATGACATGTCTGACTCATTACTACAATGATGTATAATTCTGCTCTGGGGTGGAGAGATGGAATAGAAAACTTCCCTAAATTTGCTGTATCCCAATGAATCTTTGTATCCCTTTGTTTCACAAATATTAAACCCCAAAGTAATGTTGATGCTGAAGGAAAACAAATTATTACAACCCTGGGAATTTTAATGAAATCTCAGGTTACAACTCAGATGTGCAGGGTCATTGAATCTTCCTTTATAATATATACATATCTCATATATACTGACATGTTTTTAGATACACTGAGTTGACCTCTCCTTTCTTAGTATGTTCTCTTCTTCCTTAAATTAGTACTGTATACTATTGTTAGACTTATTTCCTTAAATCTTGGTTTTGTTCTATTGCTTTATTGTTTGTAACTAATACTACCTCTAAACTCAGAATCTAATAGGTAAGACAAACAGGAGATTGAGGTAAGTAGGTATGGATAAAGCATATAATAGGAGTACTTGGTGATGAAGTAGGAAAATACTGTCCAGTGACCAAACAAACTCAGAGGAGTTAGCCAAATGAGAGGTGGGAAGGATTGGATGAGTAAGGAGGCTGATTCCTTCAGAGAGAGTATCATTCTGTCACTCAGATTCATCCTAAACACTGTTAGGTTCTTATCTCCTCAGGTGGTTTTTTCACTGGTCTATTGATTGATATTGTGGGAAAAGGACAGCCTTCCTTTCTTTGTCTTTCCATCATTGGCAAGGGCCCTAGTATTCTCCTCACTTTGATTTCTGGCGACCAGCAGATAGGAAGGGGAAGCCTTGGGAAAGCAGACATAGCACTTTAGGTTGGGGCTAATTCATGCTCAGTGTGGCTCATCAGAGAATTCCCATGGGAGATTATGGACACAAATCCATAGTGGTACATTTTTTTCCTATTCACTTTTTATGAATTTATTCAGAAGCCTCCAGTGAGGCGTATTACAGAATTGGGGTGAGATTTGGACATCCTTGGATGCCTTAGTCAAATTCTCACCACCCTGATATCAGACCTATAATAGTTCCCATTGTTTCAAGCTGTTTTTGAGCTAGAAATATTATAGAAGTAAAAGGTTCATTAATCCTCAAGTGTCTTCTACTTTTTTGAAACTCTATGTTATTATGCTCCTTCTCATTAAACACAGCTGCTGTGCAGCTGTTGGCAGCAATCACAAGAGTTCAAGACTAGCCTGTGGCTTAACACAATGAACAACTGTGCATTAGACAGTCACTGTATGATAGTAAATGCACAGCCTAAGTTTGTAGGAGGTAACTATAGAAAAAAAAAAAAGCCCAAATTGCAGGTGAAGAGGGGGAGCAGAGGCTTTTTCAAGCCTCTTCTCGGGTGACAAATGATTGATTCTGAAAAGGGAGAATTCATTTTATTTCCAGAAAATCTAAACAAAAGAACAACAAAAGAGGTGTCATTTTCCCATTAGGAACATGAAATCAGTTCCATTGTGCTTCAAGACATTCAGTTATCTTTTGCTCAGATCTGAGGAGTTGGGTTGTTGCTTTTGTAAAGCTAATTGTTACTTTGCCATTTACGATGGAATCACCCAACATACTGTAAACAAAAAGTCTGTGATGCGAAGGCTGTTGCACAGATCCATTGAAGGATCTCAAGTTTATCAGCTGCACAGGTTTCATTGCATTCTGAAATTATAGGCTTTATTGTGAGAACTTGGTAGTGCTCACTCATTTTGACACTGTAAACACATGGTTGAAAATTCCACTATTTCTTTGAGATGTCCTAATAATTATGTATCTATTAATTTGTTTAGAAAAATTGGCCCTGCAGAATAGTCTATTATCAGCTTGTTCCAAAAAAACTTAACATGTGATTTCCCTAACTTAAGAGGCAAAATTTAGCTAAGGCAAATCTATAGGTTTAAAGTGACATATCAGCCAAAATATATCACAAGAGCAATAATTTTGCCACGCACCTTCTCTATCTTGCAAGGTATGAACAATAAGAACTTGATAATAAACCATCTCCTAGTTATTTTTTTATTGTTGTACTGGAGGACTGGGGGTACACTGTGATAGTTGCAAAAGTTTTTTTTAATTGTTTTGGTGGTGGTGTGTGTTTATTGGGCATTTTTGAGGTAGAGTCTTGGGAACTATTTGTTGGGGTTGACCTTGAATCGCGATCCTCATGATCTTTGTTTCCTGAGTAGCTAGGATCACAGACGTGAGGCACAGGTGCCCAGTTAACAAAACTTCTTATGCTATATTATAGCTAAATTCATTCCCTCCATCATTCTTTTTTATCCCTCCTCCCCCCATGTTAGTTTTTTTGATGTCCATTTTACACATTTATAATGTAGGTTTTTCTTTAGCATTTGTACGGTTATGCAACTGTTACAATATCACTACCTTTTTTCTTGGTGATATGTATTAGTGGCATAGAATTTTGCAATCTTTCCCATTATTCCCTTTTCTCTGTTTCTTTAAATAATTAGGTTTATTAAATTCTCAAGGATCCTCAATATATGCAAGTTCACTTGGTTTGTAGGGTACTTATTATTTTTACATTTTCAAATTATGCTCATTTGTAAGAGACACTCAGATATCATAGAGAACCTCCATGAGATGGACTTCTATCCATATTTAATCTTTTGCTTTTTTAAACCCATTGGCAATTTATTTCCTTTTCTGTATGATATTTTTTCTTTTGTATCTTAAAGCATCGCTTTGGTGTCTATGTCTTATTTATGAAATCAATTTTGGCCTCCTTAAAGATTAACATCAAGTTTTATAATATATATATATATATATATATATATATACAGTCCATATTGTCTTTTAAACAATTCTCCTCCTACCAAATTCTCCCTTTGAATTTATTGAATAAATGACGGACAGCATAAGAAAAAGTGGGATGGTCTTTTTAGAGGCAAATACCCTATGGTGGTCCTGATATTCCCTTTAAATCTATTAATTCTCATTTTAAATTTCCACTAATGTAAGTACAATGGCCCTCAACTGGTTTTCCATCCACATAACCTCACTAAAGAGACATCATATGGGGTCATTCAGTTGCCTTTCTTGACGAGTTTGCTCCTCAGTAGTTTCCATGGCACATTCCAGGGAATTCTGGAGAGACTGCAGCTGATTCAAGGTCTCCTTCAGTAAAAATCGAGTGACAAATTGTTCCAGATTGGAGGCTTCCTGGTAGTCCTAAGGGTGACAAACAAACACAATTAGAAGTGTAGTAGGGAAAAATATCCAGGGATAGATTTTTCCCCTGTACCTTTCAGTCTCAGACTAATCTTAGAAAGGGAGATTGGAGAGAAGAGAAAAGAATGAGTGGGCCGTGGAGTCTGCATTATAGCTTTAACCAAGTAGAAGAGGTTGAATGAAAGAGCTGCAGAGATTACTGAAATATATTACCACTCATTGCACCCACTTCAAAATTAGGAAAAAGAACAAACCCCAATTATTTTCTACAGAATTATGAAATCTGTAGAAAAGGGAAAAAAAATCTGGAGACAAAGAAAAGGTTGCAATGTGACTAACTCAGAGTCTGTTCTGTATTTCATTTAAATAATGGCCAGGCCATCAAGTATTTTCTCTATTACCAACAAAAAAAGCAGTCACGTTTCAACAATTGGCTTAATTCCCTTTTGCTGTATTTATTATGCTTGATCATTTTTATGCTGAAGCTGGAGGAAATTATACATACTTATTTTAAAATTCAGAAAATGTTAGGATTGGAATATTCACATAGTTTCCTAAGTCTGCTTATTTCCCTCTCTCAGAAACTTTGCCTGAAGCACATATGCAACTAACTTTTAGCACATCTCAGCCACCAGGTATACACAGAGATCATTACAAACTAAAATAGCTGTACTCGTCAAGCTGGTCAAGGTAGGTGGGTGAGTGGCAGATGGTACTGACTGCCACTGTGTTCTGTCTGAGGCAGAACAAGGAAGAAAACTTGTTGGCAAGAATGAATTGGTAGGACAACCACTCTTTCAGGTCATGGGACCAGCAAGCTAAATCTTATTTTTTCGTCTATGGGAATAATACATTCATGTTCAGCCAAGGAAAGGATTTATTTGGCTCTGTCCCTAAACAAAATGACTTAATTGTAGTTAAAATTCAAAAGTGAAAGGAATGATGGAGACAAGATTCTGCTATGAGTCCCAGTATGTTGAGGAATCTAAGGGCATGGTTGTAAACCCAAATAAATAAAATTTAGTTACTTAAACTTTCTGGGTGTCACCTTTCTCGCTTATAAATTAGACTAAATAACTCTAGCATACATTCCAACTCAAAAATACTCTGTGCCTCTCTCAGTTCTAAAGTGTGAAATATTAGACTGTGGCTTCCTGATATAAATCACTTGGAAATTTTTTTCTGTTAGCAGAAAAATCTAATGTCATAGAAAAATCTCATTTCTTTCCTAATTTGAAATAGTAAAAGTTTTCAACCATCAGTCTTTTTAAAGCCAGTTCTTTGCAGATGAGTAGCACAGGAAATTTTCTCATCTACTATATCTAATAGAGTTATTTAAAAATAAAAAATCATAATGTCTTAAACTTCACTTAAGAAAATAACCATAAAGTAACATATTATAGACTCATAATGATTACATGGATTTTTGATGAGTTAAATCAAATAAAAAATACAAAGTACCTAATTGGATCTCATAACTTGCTATTTATTGGCAATAAAAATTTCAAAAAAAGTATTTTTCAATGTATTTTTTTAAATCAAGGAAAGTTTTCCTTTGGCATGGAAAAAAATGGGTTGGTAGACAAAAGCTGTGTTTGATTCTTTCTCTACAGTTATTTCCATTTTGCCAATGCATATTTTTTAAAAATTGTATTAAAATGAAGACAAAATACAATTGCATAGTCAGAGATTATACCAACTACATTTGCATCTCAAAATACAATGTGGCTAATCCAAAGCAAATGATAGAAAACTTTATACCTGTTTGTAGACAGCATTGAAAAGTGAAGGATGCATACATTCACTGAGCAATGAAGCATAGTGCTGGTTGTATTCTTTTCTCAAAATGTTTCTTTTCTCAAATGTTAAATATTTGTCATTGTCACATAAGAGAGAAAGTAGATTTTTTAAAGTTAGCCAATTTAAACACTCCAGTTTTTGCAATTCAATTTTGTCTTCTTAAGACTCAAATGTCATGTCATGTATTCTCATGGTGCCCACAGCAAATACTCATATCTGACTAATTTGCAGATAAACTCCTACCATAAGAATTTGTTGCATTGCTATTGTACTCTCACATTTTAAAGATTCTGATGAAAGTTAGATATTTAAGAAAAGTTAAAATTAGACAGCTAGCTGCTCCATTATAGCCATTCAGGACATTTTTAAGCTGACTCTTCTACTTCTCTTTTATGAGAGTTAGCAATACCTACAGTCACTCTACAGATATCATTAAGAAATACCACAACTCAGTTGGGTTGACATATTTGAGAAAAATGCTGATGTTCTAATACTAGGAGGGGTGGTAGAAGGGATAAGGCTTTGGAGGAGATGTTTTTGAGTCAGGTATGAATATTTGCTCTTAATGCTGTCTCTTGGTGATAAGGAGAAAAAAATAACTTTTTTCTAATATTCCTGCTTATCCTCTGCAGGGCTCTCAGCTCATGGCACCATGTCTGCACAGCCTTTCCTCCCCTTGACCACCAGTTTTCTTCACAGCTTTGGATACAGTTCCTTCCTCTTCTCTGCGTTTCTGTAACATCTTTCTCTACTTAGGGTACAGGATTTGTCATTTTATATTGTACTCTGTTGTTTACTTGTCCATCTCCCTCATTTTAGGTCAGCTCTTTAAGGATCAAGATAATATCTTCTTCATCTCTGCCTCCAGAATGCCCAGAACAATGCCTCACTCACAACACTGCACCATAAATGCTTAGGGTATGTGAAGAGTGGGACGCCATGTGGAGATAAGGTCCCAGAGCAGATGACTGCTCTGGTGGCTCAGTTATCAGCTGCACCCCTGCATCTAGCATTTGCTGCTTGTAGATGCTATAGCCTAGCTTGCCTGGTCATGTGGTTCTGCAATAAAGGGAAATACAGCTTTGCTCTTAGCAGACTGTTTGTCCTCATTCCAATTTCTGGACCATTTGCTCATCCTCTTCTTTCCCTTTCTTTGGATCTCAAGCCCTAAGACTCCAGACCCAGGTGGCACAGATCCAACCATCCTTCCCTTCTCTCAGATATGCAGCAGATGTTCCTTTGGAAGGCAGTGGCAAAAGAAGCAGATGGGAAATTAAATAGATAACAAGCTGGAAAATGTCAAAGCCTGGCCCTTTTCATTCTCAACAAATGTGTTGGTTGTGAAGGTACAAAAAGGGATCTCTGCATTCCCAAATCCCCAGAAGACTGATATATTCCTGTAAGGCACATGCTCCTTTGAGCAAAGCCCAGAATTTGAGACTGGCACAAAGAACTTCTACTGACCTAATAAAGCACAGAAAAATAAATGTACAGATGATACTAAACATCCAGATTCTTCCTCTTTTCTTTCAAAGTTTAATGCTTCATGTCTATTAGAAAGGATGCAGGCAAATGAAAGCTAACAGTTTATTTCTCAGATCCCAATAACATTTGTTCAAGTCATTGATAATTGTCAATTACATGATTCATTAGGGGGAAATTGTTAACAAAGAAGCATTAATACTTCCATTTCTTCCTGTGGAAAACCAGAATGTAAACATTTCAATTCATATATATATATATATATATATATATATATATATATGAAGATACATATATATTTATATATATATATGCAGCTTGCTAGGGCTTGGATTCACTCAAATAAAAGTACTAGCATTCAAAGCATGGTACAGTGAAAATTCAGTTTCTCAGGGCATCTCAATTGTGCGTCTCAATTATAGATCATTTCTCAGTAAGCAAGCTCTGCCTATCTGGTTGGTGGAAGAGTAGAGATCTTAGTTATTAACCCATTATGAATCATCTGAGTTAATTAGGAAAATCAGAGCATCAGACTTCCCTGTTTGCATTTGCCCCATTTGAAAATTAATCTAGTCAGTGATATCCAGTCTCAGTATCTTCTTGTTTAGGAGGTCAGATAAAATCACATTTGGCGGGGATACTGCTTCTTATTGACTTTTGATCCAAGCTCCTGCAGCTCTTGCCATTCTTGTGTGAGACATCTGTGTCAGCTTCCATAACAGGAGAAAAAAATCACTTTGCAAAGATAAGGTTGTCTTTTTCTCTTTTTGAATCTTCTCCAAACTGCTCCATAAATATATAACTGGCTTATACACATTACCTATGTCCCACTTCTTTAAATATTCTTAGGCTTCCATTTTAAATAGCATATTTTTTTCAAATATGGGAAGACATGATTTTAAACTTAAGACTTAAAAAAATGAAAAACTTATCCTTAATTGCCATAAAGATGGCCTGATATTAACACCAGATATAATTTTAGATATGTTGGGGGGCAAAACAAGAGATCAAAATGATTTCAGATCACAGATTCCTAAGGATTAAGAGAATTATAGATTCTGAAGCTAATGAGAGAGGAGACAAGGTTATCATTTGGAATAAGATAATATTAAATAACAAATAGATTGAAATGATTTGTAAATTCTATTTTAGTCACATATTCTGTACTTTGAAATAAGAAAATACTTCATGGATGAGTTATATTATTTAACACAAAGCTCTGTATTGGTACATTAAACAATAAAGGGTTCTTCCTGGAGTTCTCAAGAACTGTGAAGGCTTCTTTCCTCTGGTTCTTTCTGTTGCTCAGAAGCTTATGACCCCATCACGTGTCTTTGCCTGAAGCAATCCCCTTCTACTGGGAAGTAATCCTCTTCAAACAAGTGAGGTTTTAGGAAGATCTACATGAGTCTGAGAATGAGGACATCTATGGAGTCAGTTAAAACCTGGATCAATAGCTAAAAACAAAGGCCTAGGTCACACTCACAGACATCTAGTTAGAGTGTTGTGGTTAATAATTTGATCTAAAGATGATCAGATTTGAGTTCTGACCTGACTTATGCCACTTGAAAGCAGTGCTAACTCAGAAAGGTGTTCAACCTCTCTAAGTCCTTATTTTCTTAACTGTGAATAAGAATAGGCATCACAAGCTTACTCTAAGAATTAAATGAAATATGGCATATACAATGCATAGTATGATGTCTAGCTCATAGTTTTTG